GAAAGGTAAAGAAGTTTGAATTAGAAGAAGGGATACTTGTAGAATGGTTATTTAAAAAGTATTTAAGTAAAAATTTATAATGGAGGAGAGAAAAGAAAATTAAATCAGAGGAAGAAAGAAAAGAGAGGCCGTCCATCTATCCATCCGTGCATCCATCCATCCGTGCATCCCTTCATCCACCCATTCATCCATCCGTCCGTGCATCCATCCATCCACCCATCCATCCATCATCCGTGCATCCATCCATCCATCTATGCATGGATCCATTCCATCCATCCATGAATCTATCCATTCATCCATCCATCTATCCATGGACCCATTCCATCCATCCATCCATCTATCCATGAATCCATCCATTCATCTATCCATCCAAATCCATCCATCCATCCATACATCTATCCATTTATGTATTCATCCATCCATCCATCCAACCCGTCCATCCAGTTCATTCCATTCATTCGTTCATTTTCATTTATTCATTCATTTTCATTCATTCGTTCTTTTATTTTCATTCATTCAATCATTGACTTTCATTCATTTATTCATTCGTCCACTTTCGCTCATCCATTCATTCACTCACTTTCATTCATTTATTTTCACTCATCCATGGCATCTATCTTTTTTATCAACATTCAGATGTGCTCCGTCAAAGCTTCAGGTAGCATCCTCCTAATCTTAATCTTTCCCGTATCAGAAGTTATTTCATTTGTGATAATTGTCAAACGGTAAACTTATAATTTCTCATTTTCGCTTTATCTCATTTCTTGACCTTTATCATCCAAGATTTTTCCTTACCATCCCTAAAGTTGTCATGGTCTCACCTATTATCGTCAAGCATGAACCTCAAGTATTATCCCTATTATTCCCTCAGTACCTTTTCACTTTTATTCCAACTCTCTTCCACTTCTCCCTCTTCAATCCATTTCATTCCCTCCTACCACATTCCATCATTCCAATCTTTTTGTCAAATTACAAATTCTATCATTAATTTCCCTACGAAACCTTATCCTCATTTGAATTTTCTTTTTTCAAACTTTCAGCTGCCTTTTTCTCCTTTTTTCAAGATAGTTTTTGTAAGTCTCGGAAATTGATGAGCAAAAATCAAACTGCAGCAAATTTTTTGAATTTTTAAAATGTTTGATGTATCAGAAAAATTCGTGGAAAGTGCAACATGAAATACAATTAATTCCGAAAAATTAAAATTTGCACTTCTCAATATTTTAAATTAGTTAATAATTTAAGTGAACATTTGCTGTTTAGATATATCGACGATCAAAATTTAATTCTTAACTGCGATGCAAAAAAGTAAATAAATAAATAATCGAAACCGTGCATTCATTATCAAACTTTGAAAAAAGTTATTTACCTGATATATAATAAATTATCTGTTTCAGCTAATGACCGTGGTCTATGATAAAATCACTTCATTTAATTTATTCCTAAATTTACTATTTCTTCATTCTTGACATATTTTGCACTTAGCCAGTACAGAATTAAATTGAATAGTTCAATAGTTTCAAATATGAAAAATTAATCTCGATTTCTGTAATTTAAAATAGCTTCTTTGTTTGTTAAAAATTACAATCATTACAATAATAGGGAGATAACATTTATTAACAAACAACCAATCGTACCACTCATTTCGTAAAAACGTTTGCTTTAATGTAAGAATATTTCATGTTTGAAAATATTATTAAAATCAGAATTTGAAATTTTTCTGAAAAGTTTTTCAGGAATTTTGTTTAAGAAAGAAAAAGATGTATAGTTGTCCAATGACCAAATCATCGAAATTATCAGTTAACCTACCATTAGGTAACCTAACAATACCTGTTCATATGTCACCATCTTTTATACCAACAACAATTACATCATCACCAATAACATGTACTGTTACTTCATCATCCATCGTATTACCACCACCATATCATACGATAAACTTAAATAGCATACCATGTTATACTGATATCGATGTTGTCGGAATAACTGATGTAGCTCGTGATGTACATCTTGATGATGACGATGATGAAGAGCAATATGATAAGGTAATATATATAAATTTTTGAAATTTCATTTTTAAAATAAAAAGATTTTTCAAAATTAAAAAAAAAAAATGTTGTATAAAAAAAGATAGTGATTTCAGCCGTTGGATTTATCAGTTAAAAAGCGAGAAATATACTGTTTACCGTCATGTTCAACTGCTCTTAAACCTCAACCGCGTCCTACCGTTATACGAAATGGTTACATATTTTTTTAGAGATAACAACGACAGTAATTGAAATTTTAAATTTAATTCTACTAATTACTTTTTCCAGGTGAAACTAATCAATTGATTGATTGATAAATGTAAATATTGTAATGATAAGGAAAAAAATTTTCACAACTATCTATAGTACAAAATTTTTGCAAACATTTTTTTCTTAATTATTTAATAGTATTTTTGAAAATAAAAATTATTTCATATTCGACAGAAAAAAAGAAAAGATATTTTAAAATAAAAACATTGGTTTTATTTATTAATTTGTTATGCATAATATGTTAATTAAAAGAAAATAACTTACTTTTGTTTATTTCTTTTTTATCATCCTATAAGCGTACTTCGATCATTTTTACTTTTTATGCATCTTTTCGTCAAATCTTTGTAATTTCTATTTTTTGGAACGAAGAAAGAAATTGGTTGAAAAATCGAAACAAATCTTTGTTGCAAATGTTTATATTCAACGAGATAAATAATCGGCAAAAAACTTTCTTCAATTAACCTTACCCTTTCCTACCTTTTTCACCTTCTGCTTTCCCTCTTCTCTTTCCTCCGATTATTATCACATTCATCCTTTTTCCTCTCTTTCTCTTTATCTCTCTCTCTCTTTCTCTTAAAAACTTGAAAAAAATTATTTTTTAATGGTTGAAAAGTTTACATAATGTTATCAAAATCGTTGCAATCATTTAGATTTTTCGTTTTTTCCTCTTCTTCTTTTTTTACATTATAATGTGAATTTTGTTTGCTTAAATTATTTATATAAAAATCGGAAGATAAGTGAATTGTTTCCGGCAGTGTTATACAATAAAAATAGGCTATTTCCGGTTACTAGAATTTTCTCATACGTTACCAAAACTACATTCAGTGTAGGATAAGATAATAATAATAGGCTATTTCCGGTTACTAGAATAAGTGTAGGAATATATTAAACAATGCACTCATTATTCAATTTCATTCACCCAAACAAAATTTTAGAATGTATGACTTATACTTTTTATGTTCATTGTTAAAAGGGTAATTAATGAAAAATTGTTTGAAAAAGAATAGCATCCTAAAGGGAATGAATAAATGAATCAATCATATCTAAGATTGAATAATGGGAATCAATTAATAAATGAATTCATTCATTCATTCAATCATTTATTCATTCATTCATTCATTCATTCAATCATTCATTCATTCATTCATTCACTCTCTCATTTTTATTCATCCTTTCATTTATACAGAATATTATTACAATAGTTTGCAATATTATAAATGCATGAATCATATCGATACATTAAAATGGCAACATAAGAACTAAATCTTTTCCTTCTTTTCTTTCATAAATTTCACAGGTTGACAACATTTTTGGTCCATATGAAAACTTCGATTAGTATCAGTGACAACCGATATGAAGTGTCAACAAGAAATATCGTAATGTTATTTTATAAAACAAAAAAAATTTGCTAAAACATCAGATGATCGTGATAAGTCATAATATCTAATGGTGATCGGTGATGTCGATGATACCGATCGCACATTCTTTTCTAGTTTTTTGATTTTTTAATTTAAAAAAAGAAATGGCATTAAATAATTTTGTTTGCAATAACACAAAGAAATTATCAAAAATTTCTTTTAATTAACATTTTTTTTAAAAAATATGATATTTTTTTCAAAAAAAGAAATAGAAAAGAAAAGAGAAGAAAAATTAAAACTTCAATCTAACATTTTTCCTAAAATAAGAAAGAATTTGTTCCAAAATTAGCAAAAAGAATACAGCCATATTTTCAATACATTTGTTAAAAATAACAATTACCAGCGCTCAAACACATAACAAACTTTACACATTCATTGTTAACATATCGTAATATTGATTAATGATTATCGTAACATTGTCAACATGTCTTAATATTGATTAATTATTATCGTAACATTGTTAACATATCGTAATATTGATTAATTATTATTGTAACATTGTTAACATATCGTAACATTGATTAATTAATATCGTAATATTGTTAAAATATCGTAACGTTGATTAATTATTATCGTAACATTGTTAACATATTGTAATATTGATTAATTATCGTAACATTGTTAACATATCGTAATATTGATTAATTATTATTGTAACATTGTTAATATATCGTAACATTGATTAATTATAGAAAAATTAGCAAAGAAATATAAATTTCAATAAATGCTAAATTCATTTGCTAATTAAGAAAAAGCATTTTTCAAAAAAATTTCCCCATAATTTGGTTTATTTTTAAATACATTAATTTTTTCAATATTTCTTTTTGCTAATTTTTCTTTTTAAAAATTAACATTTCTACAATTTTTTAAAAAATTAGCAAAAAGAAATTTAGCAAAAATTAATAGTTAATAAATGCTTCTGACACTTTTTCTCCATCTATTTTCATTATTAGCCTTTTGTTTACTTAGATGAAATGATATCATTTATCATTAATTATATGCTTGTGATATTGAAACAATCAATATAAAAGTTTTAAAATTTTTTTGACTTAATTTTTTCACTTAAAATATTTATTTCAAAGTGTAAGGATGAACAAATCAATCTTCTTTAAAGTTCCAAATTTATTGTAATTTCTGAAATTTATAATTGCATTTTTAGTACGACGTAATGCTTATATGCGACGATCAGCGTCCTCAGTAATATCACGACCCGCTTCTGAACCAGATGTTTCTGAGCATTTCCGGCGATCGCTTAGTGGTAAATGGCCAAAACGGCAAACAAATTATGTTCATTATACACCACTGCTTCAAACTGATGCTGACAAAAAAATTTCCGGTTATAATTTAATCTGTGCAAATACTCCTCTCTCCATATGTAATCCATTTATCATCTTTACCATTTAAAAAAAAATGCAATTTTTCCATTGCTTACATTAGATATGCTCAAATTTTCAGAACCGTTATTACATTGTAAAACCAGTCAAGCAACCGGTTTGCGAAACATTCCTTTATGTAGCGCAAGCTCTCCACAACAGATTGTTGTCAATAATTCCGGAATTGAAAGTGAGAACTGAAATTTTCATTTCAAATTAAATAAATCTGAAAAGAGAAATTTGAAAGGGAAGGAATTTTTTGCTTCTATATTTGCTACAAAGAATGCCTTTTTTTATTGAAAATATTTTTTGTATGAAAGAATCTTTTTGCTTTTCATCGAACAAATTTATTGAGGGAGCATTTATAATACAAGAAATTAAATATTAGAGTAATTAATAAATTTAATAATATGTATCATATATATCAATATCATATTAACAATTAACAATTTATGCAGAATCAATGATTATACATATGCTGTGACATTTGTTCGATTTCAATAATTGAATTACCTTTTCTTTTTCAGTAGAGGATCATTTCCGGAAAGCACTTGGAGCAGAAGCTTATGAGCTTCTTCGTAGAAATCGCTAAACTTTTCAACTTTTCTACCATACTTGTATTCGATCCTTTTCTTATTCATTCAACAATAATTAATTATTAAAAGCCTCATTTTCTTTATTTTAAGAATTTTTTCTTTTATTAAGAATTTCCTTTCTTTTTATTGTAATTGTAATAATTAGCAAACAGTTATCTTAAAACTCAATTTATTTATATTTGTCTTAAATAGTTCAAACTATATCAACGTCCAATTCACAGATTTTTTTCCACAAAATCTCTTTTTATTTACAATGACATACTAGGATTTCTTTGGTATATGACTTAATTATCCGTCTAAATAATTGAAATGAAAATCTCTGACAATAGTTATAATGCATTCTTCTCGATGCTTTCTCAATTCATGTAAATTCATTTCGTTTTTTTCACATATATTTCGCTAAAAATTTAACAAATTTAACTTACTGCAATTTTTTTCTAAAATATTGCACTTATCTTCTTGACAGCCGTATATTATTGTAAGCAATTTAAACTGTATACTTCGAAGTGATGTGATTTTATGATGCTTCTGGAGCAATTTCAGAATCAGAAAGTTGACCAGCATAATTTCTACAAATCAAAGACATGCTTAATTTCATTGTTCCTTACTACCAAATTTTGCTGATATATCATGATCCGATTTTGCAATTACTGACTACATTAGTTCCAGAATGCTCCCACCATTATTATATATATTTTTAATTACTTTTACTCCAATATTTGTTTTTACTTGCCAAATATATATTTTTATGTATTTACTGTATTTCTTATTTGTCATTTTTACTGTAATTTACTGTATTTCTTATTTGTCATCTTTTTTTCCACAAAACATAACTCATTTCGTGAAATAATTGATTGAAATGATGGAATTCTAACAAGCGTATACAGTTATTCGATAAGTTCCAAGACAAAAAAAACAAAAATATGTCGTGCCGCGTTTGTTTATTGAAATAGCAAAAAATTAGAATCTTTAAATTGTTGAAGCTAATTTTCGATCAAAACCGCTTTTACTTTTGTTCTGTATATAAAATTTTTTAATTGTAATTTTTCTTTTCATTAACGAATTATTTGAGATCATCATATTAAGTCCATAAAAAGTACTACTAGAAATCTGCTAGCAGATACACTTCTGTTTCGCACAACACTTTCAGAATGCGATTTCGAAAAAATTGAGCTTAATAACAATCAAATTTGCTACTAATTTGATAAAAACAATGCAACTGAAGCAATAATCCATCTGTCCGAATTTCCGATACACGGCATCTGAATTTCGGCAACTAGCTGATTCCGTTCAGGTGTTGCATAAAGTGGTACAAATATTGATTTACCTTTTTCATACACATCAGGAGCACCCTGAAATTATTTTTTCATGTTTATATTTGGAAAAAAAACCTGTTTTTTCATCTCCTTTCACTTGGATCCTTTTTCTTCTTCATACTTACAGCAGATATCCAAGCAATATATAGATTCGGAGCCGTTGCAACAGTGGGCGATGTTTGTTTTGTTTCAATGATGTGTTCTTCAAATAAAGCTCCTTGAATATAAATTCCGGACAATTCCATTACATCTTCATTTTTCAGAAGTGCAGCATTCCATGCGGTCCCCAATTTCAGTTCATCCATAGACATATGTTTTTTTCTAAAACTGAGGGTTTCTTGTTAAATCTGAAATACAGCAAATTTGAAATTGTTCAAACTTTCCTTCATACTTAAATTAAAATTCATTCAAAAAAAGTTAGCACACCTTGCGGTTAGTTGCCGTAAGGCATTGAAAAATGCGGTAGGTCGAAAAATACTGCCAAGTCTGATTGGATTAGCCAATATTTTATGACTATCATTGATCCGTGATAATTCTTCTATTGATTTAGCTTTATGTACTAAAACCGACAGGTATTGAGCTGGATCCGATGGACCTCTCCATGCTTCCTGCCATGCTTCCGGTGTCTATAAATAAATGTAAATAAAAGGAAAACATTTTGATATCTTCAAGTGCCATGAAGATTTTGCTGAGAAATACATTAATTAATCGAAAAGTAGGTTTTTTACAAAAACAAAAAAGCAAACTTGATGCATCATTAATGCCTGCGCACTATTAGCAAATTGTGATGTGGGCAATTGGATACCATGTAAGCATTTACGCATTGCACCAAGGAATTTATGCACTTTTTGAACCTGAAAATTTGCACACATTTTAATTTTGAGCACATCAACAATACCGATTTATTTTCAACATATCAGAAATTATTACACATGATATATACCAATGTTATTGCATGAATATATTCCAGAGAAATAATTTCTAAGATGAGATCATCAGTATGCCGTGCCAATGGTACATTCATGGAGTGTAATGTTGATTGGGAATTGAGTCGTTTCCAAAGTGATAAAATTGGATTTAGAGCATCATTCCATGCATTCCTGAAAATTTTTGCTTCATTTTGCCTCATTCCATTTCATCGATTTGAATTACTAATTTACTATAAATATTAAAATACAATGAATTATATCCAGAAAATTCTCATATTCCATCAAACAATTTCTAACCATCCATATTTACTAATTTAATCATGAATACTATCTAAAATGACAAAAATTGTTATTTAATTAACAATTCTGCATATTATTCGAATGAAATAGCATTTTTTTTTTTTTTTGTCTAATCAACATCACCTTTAAATAATTGGCTAAAAGGGAATTGAGCAACATTGTTCAAACAGTAACTATCACCTGTCAAATGTAATTTCGGTGGCAGCAACAATTTGCATGCTACGTATTTGCCGAATCATTTTATCCGTTTCCGCCATTTCACGTGCGGCACTTGTATTTGAGGGCAAACCAAACAAAACCAGATTGTCTTCTTCAGGTATATTTGTATTGATGATATTAATATAATCCTGTTAAGTGAGCCATAATAAGTTTTAATCTTTCAGTTCCTTATATAAATCTTAAATTTAAAAATGAAGAAAATAGCATTACACCTAAAACCACACAAACATATCTTAAAAATTATTCCATTATATACAGTATTCTGGAAATATACCGTGATATTGCTCGAAAATGGGACAGAAATATTGTGCGCAATTTCAGGACCATTCATGCCAATAACAGATGAATTAAAATACCGTTTCAAATAAACAATTAAGACGTTCATATCAAAATCATTGTCAATACGTCCACCATATGCTACAATTTGCATAAGGCCACGTAATAACTGCCAATCAGTAGCTGAAAAGGGAGTTATACTGAAAAAGAAAGTCTATTTGAAATTTAGAAAAATAATATCAGAATCATGACTGTTCGACGGTTTGACATAGTCCTCACGGTCTCATGATTCCTTTCGGATAAAAATAGAAAGCAATAAACAATGGCTTCAGAAAATAAAGCAGATGCCAACTAACAAATCTATCAGTAGTATCAGAGGTAAATAATTCCAAACACCTGATTACAATCAAACAACCTGCATCATTGTTTTATTGCTTAAAGATTTTGAAAGGCACCGTTCTGCCGCACTCTCTAGCTGCTATTATTCTCAGTCTTTAATAAAAGGTATAGTTTAATGAACGTCGAGCTAATATATATTCCGAGAACTGTCAAATCGATCAAAAGTTTAAATCTGGAAGACTTCACCTTTACCATCTTTTGTAACGTCTTCAACAAACTTCTTGGCTACTCGCAAATCACTGTTACTAAATTCATAAAACTTCGACCAAGCCTGAAATCTCTATTATTTGACATACAGAATATTATACATAAATTTTACAGCTGGTTAACATGCTGTTTGTTACCGCCTTTACATAAGATAATTGAAATAAAATTTAAATTATAGTGACTCCCACTCATCTTTAATGAATTTAGTAACTGACATGCTTTAAAAAATTGGGAGATAAATGGCAATCCGACATTATTTTTCAATTTTTTGATATGGAGCAGCTAAAACTACAAAAAAATAATTTAAGACCGAGCTTTTTATAAAGCAATACAAAAAGAAGGCATGCTAAATTACATTCCGATTAACACTGTTAGAACCATCATTTAACTTGACAAATAGAAGATTGCAACTACATACCAGTTGAAGTGAATTCAGAAATTTTCCTGGAATTAAAGCAAAAAAAATTTTTTTCTCGTCAATTTTTACGAAATTTCATATGTTCGAATGAAAAGATATACCTCAGGTATGAACATACGTCGCTCTTGTAGAAGTGCGTGTAACCAAGCTAACATGAATAAGCTTTGCAAACAAACGGCGCTAAAATTAAGCTCAGATTGTTGCCACTGGGCATAAATCCTTTTCATATTATTCTTGATGCCAGGTGGTGCTTCGTAAACAATTTTCAGTGAAGTTTGCAGTATTTGAGGTGGAATATGCTCGTTTGATTCGGATGTTAACCACAGCCGAAAACTGGAATTTCGTTTCGACGCCAAAAATTCCTGAAATTGAATCAAGACCATAACCAATCATTGAAAGAATAAAAAAACTTTTTTTTTGAAGGAAATAAGAGGAATAATTAACCTTTGAGGCTTCCTGGAGTTTAAAAAAACATATCATTATAGTAAGAGGTTAAAATTTCCCCACTATTACGAATTTACAAAACCAGAAATTTTATTCCATGCCTTCTCTATTGCCGCTAAATCATTGATGGCGAGATGCAAATTTTTTAAGCACACCCAACCACCATTTGCAGCACATATACGAATTGCTTCAAGAGCTGCTTGGCGCTGTCCTTGGCCCATCGAAATTTGGTGGAATTTCGCTTTAGATATTTTCTTTCGAGCCAATTCTTCCAGTTCCTTTAACAACAACTTCAGCGTAAATTTATTACTCTTTACCAAAAAACTGGGCTCTTACTAATCAGATTTAAAATTCATTGTGAACAGTATAACTAAACAAAGATTAGATACAGAAAATTTGAGCGTCTTAATTTATTATGATCAAAGATTGGGTCTGACTTCAGAATTCAAAATGAAGCTGCAAAAAACCTCATTTGCAAACCAGGGTACCTTAAAAATTTCAGCTCCATAATCTAGTCTATACTGGTTTAATGAAAACTAATCAAAACTCGAATTCGATGCTATGATCCAGTGTAAGAGATAACGAAGTTAGATTACAATTTTTAATCGCGGATGTGATTGATATCTAACTATTAGTATTCCAAACCTTTTTCTACACTTTTAAATTAGAAATTAGAACATATCAATAATACTTGTGAAGGATCTGCACCAGGACTAATTAGTATCATGATCGGCTCATTTTCATTGCTTTCCGACTCGTAGATTGACCTCAGATCCAGTGGAGACGGATTGATTGAAGAAGCTCCTGAAATTTAAATTAAAAAGTTCTTAAAATGTTAAATTCAGATAATTAGCTTGTAGGTGATGGACTGACAACAAACCTAATACGCTAGTAACAAAGCTGATTACAGTAGAATAAAGTCTCTCTGGTCGAATTGCCTGGATAACGATTAATTTTTGGAATGGTGTTATAACTGCATCTATAGCAGGTGGAAATGCTGTTTCGCAGTTTATCGTGCGAGCAAATTCACTCCATAGTCCTTGATCCGTAAAACGAAGATTGTTAAATAATGACGGCAAATATTTCTGCAAAACTTTCTAAAATTTCGATTTTCGTAAATGGTTATGTCAGAAAAAATTAAAAATCATTTACAGCGATAAATTTTCTATTCAACATAATACTCACTACAGTAATTCAAACTTCTGAAAAATACTTCAAACTAACCTGCAATTTCGCAACATTTTCTTTTCGTTCACTACCAATCCAGTCAATCTTTTCCATGGGATGAACTGTAGCATCATTAACAATCAAACCTGTGAATAATTCCCATTCCTAGAAAAAACGATTATCATTAACTTGATCTCGCTAACTGTTAAACAGTTGATAACTTTGGTTATCTTTCGTGAAAAAACAAGGTAACTTTGATTGCTCAGTACCAAATATGACTAAATTCGTCAGTATCAAATTCGATAACAGTGAAACCCTAAACATAAATTGCATTGAGTTCTCTGGTAATCACGTACCTATATGTTGAATTTTTGAAAGAGCGTGCAATACCAAACTGCCTAATTAACTTAAACGAAATTAAACTCATATTTAAATGAAATGCTAACATTCTGCGCAAAGAGAGATGGTTGTATTCCATGGATAAACCGCATAGAAAACATCATTCGATCTTTTTTGAAAACTGCGCGCGATACATATTCATAAACGGTATGTTGGAGTATCCGCCGTAGTTTTTCCATTCGTTCCACCGTATTCGTACTTTCCTAAAATGTAAAAGATAAACTTGAAATCTCTAAGAAATTCAGGGAATTTCATATTTTCAACTATAATCCACAATAGCCGATTCATTCAAACACTATTCAAGCGAAAAAAAATTAAAATCGAAATATTCCATTATTGAATAATTCCACATTGCTTTACTAAATCTAACAAATTCAGGTTGATACGTGCGATAAAACAATTGCACTCTAGAAAACTTTGATATCTGCATAAGCTCTGTTTTATCCGACAGATTGGGTTGTCTACTGGTGATTCCTATCACCTGATTGGTTTTTATTCAATCAATATAGTTTTAAAAGTCCTACAAATTTTCAGTTCATTTTTATATCAAAAACTCACCTTAACTTTGCTGAATGTACGCTTGTATAAGTTTATTAGAGTATTGAGGTTAAAGTTGTACATAGGGTCCTGTTTGTGCAGATCATGAATAATAAAGTATAAATTACTTGCGGCTTTTGCTAACGGTCGATATGCATCTTTTTCCTGGAAGGAAAAGAATTTTGCTCCTATAAGCATCATGTATTAAAACTAATCAATTAAAATTATAAGTTTATAAGTTAAATAAGCTCTTTTTAAAAGAAAAGGAGAACTGCATCACATGCAACAAACCTTAACAAGTTGTTTTTGCAACTTATGAGCTTCAGTTAGTGATGTTGCAATCGTTTCTGCATTTTCTTTGCTTTTATTTAAGGAATCCAACAAATCAGTATTATCCAGTAGACTTCCTTCGGATGAAGCTAATGTCTTAAATATAATAGTCAAATCGAAAAATATAATAGTCAAAGCTTTCTAACACACTATGAAAAGAATAAAAAACAAAGCAATATGATGCGATGCTTGCAAATACGACTTTGAAAGAATAATGTGTCTGATACGCATATGATAGAGTAATGTCGCAAAAACTATTTTAGAAATAATTAGTTATTTGCAGCATCTTGATATACGATAAAAGCTGTTTTCTCGTGCCCAAATAATACAAGAAAATTTCGATATGTGCACAGAAAAGAAGCAACCGGGATAAACTGATAAATTTTAATGCATTTTTACTAAATAATTCTCACTTGCAGAAGTGATTGTTCAATGCCATCAAGTTTAAGTTTCATTTGTTCCACATTACTGGTCAATTCACTTAAACGAGTTTCCAAAGTCGGTTTTTCAATTTGTATTGCCAATCCGAGCATCTAAGTAAACTAGTCAGTGTATATATATAACTGCCTGTGCATTATCGTTGTAAATAGAAGTAAATTTCCTCAGGAAGCTTGACTCTCACGCAATGGTGAGACGTTTAGCTAATTCTTTACAAGAAAGTTGACATTTTTTCCAAAAAAAAAAAATGATAAACACGAACTTGCGATGCAAGCCCTGTTTGTGTGATACTGAAACATATTAAAGCGACCGCTGCCTTGGATGTTTGATCCAATCGCAATAAATTATTCTTGGAACAGATATATAATCGAAAATTATCATTATAATCAACAGCTTTCTCACCAATTTGAACAATACGTCGTGGTCCTGAGAAGAATAGCAAATATTTTATCATTGATCACGTTTGCGTATGAAATAATTCATTTTAGATTTTTACTAAAATTGAGATAATTTTGAAAGAAATTAATGCTTTCCCCCATTTTATGTATATTTATTATTTTCTTATCTTCAAAAAAGGACTTGTTAAAATGTCCGTAATTCCGGTTATACAAAAAGTTTCACGCTGTGAACCAACTGATCTTATTTAACGACCAGGAGTTCAACTGATATACATGATTCTTTACTTGCCTGTCATCGTTAACCTCTTCGAAATACATTTCATTGTGGTGTCATTCCACTATTAAGGAAATTACTGCATAGAATGACCGAATAATTCAAGTAAATTTAATAAACCTTTCCTGAAGGAATCTTTTCCTTTTTTTCCGTCTACATATTTTTTCGATAAAGCTTTATTTGAACTCTTCACTGCGTCCAAAAATTATAACAGAAGCGTACCTTGACTCGAAAACTCTTTCCGGAGAAGATTCATGAGCATAGGTTCAACTCTATTCGCATCATCAATAAGCAAAAATTTGCCAAAACGAACAGCAAGTTCAACCTAAAATTAACAAAAATGATAAAAACTCTTGCCTCTAGTCAGATTATAAGATTTAGAAAAATAACCTATACATTTCCCTGAATAATTTCATTTTTTTAACGATTAGCAATGCATCTCTCCTTTTTTTTTCGGTTCTTCAGTAAATAAAACAGCAAACAAATATATACCACCTGTGTAAGAAGATTAGAATCATTGGCATTCACTTTTTCTACTTGCTTATCCTGTAAATGTTTTTCAAGAAATGATGATGCTCGCCCGCTCGGATCGATGATTAGCGGTATATCCATGGTATTGAATAAAATCATGGCATTCTCCAGTGAAAGTGCATCGGTTGGAAGTCCTTTGTTACTCCAATTCAACTGAAAAAAAGAATCGAAAATAAAGCAATGAAATAATAATACCGAAGCTGTTGTGCAATCCTTGACACTATTATGCGTTTCACTCTTTTTTCAAATGTGTCAATCAGTACTTCGCGTATTTTTCTTTCACATTGCGTCTAATTTATGTGAATCAAGTATCACCAACTCACACTGCTGTATTTAAATCAGTGTCACACTGAGGAAATCTAGATTTGAAATTTCACCAGTAACAACATGCCTTTTCGGTCTCCATAACATTGAATTCAAGTATATTGAAGTCATTCAAATTGAGAAGTTTTTGCCATTTACTCAAAATTTCATTTCGAACTTGTTCCGATTCTGAACCGAGAAATGTTACAAAAGCAGCAGACAGAAGGGAACCCTTTTCTAGCTGCAACACAAATTAAATTTGTTTTGCAAATACTGAGTACAAACGGGAAACTGATTTCTTAGGATTAATTACATTAGCAAACATAAATCATAACAGGAAAAAACTACACAATCAAGTTCATTTTGCAAATTGCCGATTTGCTCTTGCCATCTCCCATACTCGCCACTAAGTCTATCTATAAGAGTTCCAGCAACATTAATCGTTTCCTGGAATTTCAAGTTCATGAATGATACTGATATGGCAGCTTAAGAAGCTTAAGAAGCTAAAAGCATTTCGGAAAAGCACAAATATGTAATGTGCATTATCACGATGGTGCAACATTTAGCAATAAACCCAAAACAAACTTTATAGTATTTCCTACTTAATTTAACTTCGAAGTCATTATGCTTCATTATTTTGTCCACAAATTGTTTTTCAGAAAGGATAATTCAAATAAAGCACATATAAGCCTACCTGTTGCTTATCTAAATCAATCTTTATTTGTGTTGCTTCTTTCATATGCAGTTCAAAGTTATTCTTCAACTCAGTAACTCGTTCGTCAACCGTTTCCAAACCTTTCGATAATTTTTGCATTTGCTTCTCGGTTTCGTTTAGATTCCTACAGCCAAATTATAAACTTCCAATTTCAGTTCACGTCCATTTTGTTTAAAACAAATAAGTTAAATATTCCCCCTTATTGGTAGTTAAATTATTCAAAAACTTGAAATATGATACATAACTATAATGCCGCCCTTTTAACGTATCTATTTGTTTGACTATCGATAATTTTCAAATTGTATGAGCCCAATTAACACACATTTAAAAATTAATCTGATTTACACTTCATATAGATACATTCCTTGAATGGTGGTATTTAAAAAAATCGTTAACTTACTTAACCAAATCATTTTTCTCTTTTTGCAAGGGAGCAACATGTTCCAAAATTGTCGAATAATCCAAATTTGCGCGTACCCATGCAGCTAAGGGTGCTGCTGCTGCTGATGCTCGTTTCGCATTCTGTAAATTAAAATTTATCAAAGCTATATAATAAATTAAATTATAAGGAAAATTAGCTCATCTATAAGTAACCCATTTTATAATAGATTAATCTTCGAAACCATAAGTGAATAGGAGCTTCAACAATTTATCAACTTAAACAGCTTAATATGAACCTAATTTTCACGCACGCATCTTTCCGTAATTTTCACACATCTATCTTGCTAATGTCGTGAAAAAATAAATCATACGAAAATTGCAATGCTTCTTCAAACTTGCTTTACCCATCCAGAAAGAAAAGGAAGAAATTCCAGAGAAAGTTTTCATAGAATAACAAAATTTCATTTCTTGCTTATCATTTACTTATTCTGCAAGTTAAAAGAATGAAGAGAATTTTTTTGAAATCAGACACAGTACATAATAAACTTAATCTACAAAATTAAGGATAATCCAAGTAAACTAGATCTTGTTTTAGATAGAATTCTTAAGATTTGACCTACTACATCACAAAAAAATTACGGAAATTTCAAAATAATCAACCTTTGGATCAAACGATGACTGTTTGCTTTTTACAAGAGCAGAAACCCTTTTGTTAATATCAGGTGAAATTCTCCGGGCATCGAAATTAATTATTTCATCTTTAACTCCATTTCTTGCCAAGAACCTACAATTAAGATAAAATTAAATTTATGTAACTTAAAGGATGTTCAGATAAAAGCGGCTCAAACTACCAAATTTAGAACAAGTTTTCAAGATCATAGGATATAACGCAGTTTAAATAACCTTTAAATAAGTTTAAATAAAAAGTTCTCTTCTTTTAAAAAAAAACGAATTTTGTTGAGAAGAAACCCTTACTTACTTTCTCATCGCTTCCCAGGATGTGTCAAAAATACCCATAAATAACAACACAGCTTGTAAAATATCTCGGATTGCTTCCGGTGGAGCACGCAGACTTCGAATTTCAGATAGGCTCTCCGATTTAATAGAACCAACTGCTTCACGAGCTTCACGTAACACAGGTTGCACCTGAGAAATATAACTTAATCCTGATGTACCTCACCATCTGGTACTGATTTATTTAGCTAAAGAGGATAAATTTTCTCAGTTAAAATTGAATTGCACTAACTTGAAACAGCTTTTTTTGAAGGAAAATAGTTACCTCGCGTAATTGGTTATCGATTAAACCTTTTTGCTTTTCAATCCTTTCATTTTCTTTCACGATTGCCAATTTCAGTTGTTCCATATCTGATCGCTGACAATTTGTGCTCTCAAAAATTTTAAATTCAGTAAAATACCCAAAATAAAGAAGTGGAACATAACTATAGATAGCTTGTGTAATATTTGGTTAAATTTAGTCAGGCAAAATTTTATAAAATAAAAGACATAAGTGATTTATTTATTGAATATCATGTGGGATACCAATGTCACGCAGTAACTTCTAAACAAACCGTCATGCTTTGTGATATTGCCTTCAGTGCCATATCTGCATCGGTTTGTTTTTCAGCCAACAATTTACTTTTCGTGGCGGCTTTTTTTTGCATGTTAGAAACAGATTCACGCGCTTCCGTCAGTTTACCAATTCCGGCCTGGGAAAATACTAATAATAATAGCGAAGTGCTCAATCCTGTTCAGTTTGTTTTCGTACGACATTTAAAAATATACAATTTTAAAGCAAAAAGCCGAAATATTCAATTTTGACATTGCCTAGCAAAAACATTAAAAATTTTTGTCTTTAGAATACAAAAAATTAATACCTTTAGCCTATTAGATCGTGTCTCAATAGCGGTTCTTTTTTTATTGAGAATGGAAACATAGTTTTCAATGAATCGGATATACTTTGCTGGTGATGCTATTTCGGGTGGGCACTGGTGATAGATTTGCCCAAAAGCTATTACTATATCATTTGATGCTTTGACATTATGCCGAGATAAAATTAACTCCGATAGCTGGAACCACTTGATAATTAACAATGCAATTCTTAGTTTTTTTCGAGGGAAATTCCACAAAGTTTTCTAGAATTCATTCTCACGAATAACAACATTAATTAAATATAAGGGTAAAAGGTTTTTCAAGCTAATTATCCATGAAATCAAAATAATTCATTACAAACAACCTGTGACAAAGCATCCCTATTCCATGTTTCATTCCAAATGATCGAACATTCCTTGTATAATGACGGATTTGATGAGCATATTACGGAGAAATTTGCATCATCAACATTTAAAATTAGAATGATATGCAAGTTTGCTTTTACTTCTAAAAAAGAGTCCATAAATACGCTACCATTGACAACACCAATCACTTTAAAAACACTTTTTTCGACTTTATCACGTCGCTAATGACTTCAACGTTTGGAGAATTGATTTCGAAACTCAAAACGTGTTGCTTTTGTGGACATTTTTGACAATCACTCAAATTATTTCTATTCCTTAAGTTCGAAATATATTTGTTTCAACAGTAACATATTTTCGTCCCATTTTCAAAAACAAAATTTTGCAAGAAAAATAAGGGAAAAACGAAATATGTAAAACTTACTCATAACAAAATAAGAATACAAGTCGCCTTGAAATGCATCTTGGGAAGCTTGTTCACGTAAGCTTATCAACAAGCTATCGAATTCTTGGACACTAAACATCCCAGGAAAATCACCAGAAGACAACAGTGAATTTATCGATTGCAGAAATGCGTCATGCAGTAGCTGATAATCTTCAACAATATAAACGACATGTTTATCATTTATTGCTGCATCCTGGATGACCTGCAAAATATTTGGAATTGCCACTCAATGTCAAAGTCAACTCAATGTCAAATCGATATCGGTTAATGAAAGATATAGAAGAGAGAACAAACAAAACGTGAGAACATCTTCATTCAGGAAAGTAATCGATGATGTACTACATATTTTGTATAAACTGGAACTATACCGTTTTTAAATCATTTCTGAACTGTTTGACTCCATATGACGATGTCAACTTAGGCGAGAACACGGGCATTTGATGCATGTTGGCGACAAGCGATGCAGCTTCACGTCTTCCCATACCAGCTCTTCCAGCTAACAGTAATGAACCTCCTGAAAATCAACAAAATCAGTTGAAGACTGGGTGTACTGTTTAAAAAAAAATTATTTAGCATTACTGACCAAAAGATCAATTCATAATTTATGACAAGTTTTTCCTGAAAAATGATCAAATTCAAACTCTGATTAATCAGAGAAATTAAAGTAAATGACACGAAAAACCTACCTGGTGCGGTGATCACCCGATCAATCTGAGAGCATAACTTGACAAATTCATCAAAAATTGGCATTTTGAAATTTGCTATTTCGAATTCTGGAAATTAATACAATTAAAAATCAAAAATACAAATAGACTGATATAACTTGCAATTTTAGTAAAGCAATGTATATTAATTGTGCTTGATCTCCTGCTTAATCAATCATCATGTAAACATGATAACATAAATGTGATATGAAACTTATCATATCGATTAACTGCTTGTTGCAAAAGTTTGGCGTACTGTTTGCGTGATACCACCGACAATGGAGCACCTTTCAGCATTGTTATTGAAACAGCTCCTCGAGATACGTATAAATTATCTAAAAACAAATTTGGTTTTAACCCATTATCGACTGTGAGATTTTCAATCTTAAATTTTAAAACGACTTCGGATATATATATATATATATATACCAAGAATGTTGGACATTTCCTATTATCCGTTCTTTGTGTAGCTTACTACACGCTAACAGTCAAAACCCAAAGTCAGTCTTCAAGCAGAAAACTGAAGAATTTAAGAATCAAAGTTAAATTTGCACCTTCATCATTGCATATTGCAGCTGATGACAAATTATTGCTAATAATACCTTCGAATCTGCAAAATTTATATATAATTATTCTTTAAGCATTTTTCCTTCTACACTATTTATACCTTACTAACATGAAAATATTACTGCAAGCAATTCACGAAAAGATCACTGGCCAACTCTTATAAATTACTGTCCTAATATCCATTACTAAGAAACGCTTATTTAACAGATCACTTAAAATATTTGAAGTAATAACTTTTAAGAACAAAAGTATTTACCTTTGTTTATGCTCATTATTTACTAAGCGATCCTTGAAAATTCGTCGACATTCATACAACATTGGACATAAATATTTTTCACCAGCATTGGTACCTGTCAATGTAGGGATAAACTATATATTTTTTTGCTGTACAATATAATCATTATTTTATCATCTGCAAAGTAAGAAAGATTGTTATACGCGATGAATAATCAGATTAAATATACGCACAGAAAAAAATTCAAAAACAAAGACATGGCAATAGCGCCGAATTCGTAGGCAACAATTCTAACGCTAAGAAAGAACTAACGCTAATAGTTATAAAGACGCTTATTTTGAATGATAACGCTGAAAAAGAATGGCACTTGAACGGCGATACTTGCCAACTATTACCAGTATTCGAAAATTGCTAGAAACTAGAAGTAGAATTGTTGGAATTTACTTGTTGTGTAACAACAAACAAAAGTCAGGCAGGAGTTGCTAGCCTTTGTAATATCATCAATATGAAGCAAAATATGCACGTTACAAAAAATTACCAGTAATATCGTATCTTGTAAGGGCAAATACCCAATTCGATAAATCCGTCAATGTAAACATATAATGTGCGTTGTCAGTTGGCTTGAATGCGTTTCGCACGTCATTATACAGATGGACCATGATGCTTGCCAAGTCATTTAATCGGTGTCCCAATGGCTCGGTTGAATTCTGAAATATTTTTAGAAAAATTCTTTATAAAACTACGACCAACCGGTTGTCTTTTGATCACTTACTAGGTTAAGAAATAATTCTCCAGAACTCTAATCCCTTGTTTATAATATAAATTATTAGGAAATTTTGAAAGACAAAATAATGTAATAATGTTTAGTGAAGGATATACCTTTATTAAAAATGTCAGATATGAGGAGTAAATAGTGATAAGTTCTTCCTTTGTAGGGTATTCAATTGTACAGATTCTAAGCAAAGAAACAAAACGTGATGGTAGCAGGTAATGACCGTCATCATTAGCCAACGTTATCGATAATACTAACTGAAAATAACAATCTGATTCAATAAAATTTTATTTCAAGTCCTAATTTGAAAACAGTACTAAATAACTTGAAGTATTAATGAATAATTATATGGCTCTTTTGTCAACTCAAGTTATTGACATTAAAATAGGAATGTTTTAATGCTAACAACTGGAATTGATAAATAAACTTAAGCATCTTTATAGAGATTAATATGAATTTCGCTGATTTCAATCATATTAATCCGAAGTTTGCATTATTGATAACTACTGCAAGACCATGGAGAGTCGTTAGCAAGACACCAAGTTATTTAAAAAGATCTATATTTTTAAATAATTCAATTAATCTAAAGAATTGCAATTGTACAAAATAAATGTCAAGCAAAATGCTGATTTTCTTTTGAAAAGAATTTTCAAGACACAAACTTGAATATTTTCCAGAGAGATCCATTCTAGCTTTTCATTATAATATCCCTTATATGTGAGAAGCTGTTGTAAGAAAGCGATTATTTCACATGTACCCCATTTGTCCGGCTTTACAACATTAATTGCTTTTATGTAAAAGACCAAATTTTGCTTCTCTTTCGGTTTAAGCACTCTTCCAGATGCACTGCTAATTTGTACACAGTACTGGTGCAACAAATCTAGTACTTGCTGAGATCTGAAATTTGATGAACATATAAAAAAGATACTTGTAGAATATCATTTCACATTATAAAATGAACAATCAAGTCCTCCCAGGATCTTGACCGTTTTTATTGAGAAGTTACGGAATTATTTCACGAATAAGCAGAAGAAACTGTCATTACTTCAGATTAAAAAGAAAATTAACATTCAGAAAAAATTCATTTACCCTGTTTGAGCACTACAATGAAGTGTAGCTATTTGACTATTTGGATCCAATTCTAAACAATGCCGTAGTAAGCTTTCTTTTCCACAACCATCTGGACCACATATTATGAAAGGTTGTCTATTACGGTTATCCAGCCATGAGCGAATCTACAAATTTACACCTTTAGATACTCAAAATTTACAACAATATTTAAACATTTTTCTATACGCTTTACTTAAAGCAAATTTTGAGCGGTTTGAAATTCGAAAGTTTATTTAAAATCTTTTGAATAAAGTGTCCACTTACAGTATCACGATTAGCTTGAGCATTAGCAGTTAAAATGTATGGATGGCGTTCCAAACTTAATAAATGGTCATTGTTATTTGCCATATTCACTTCGTCTATATAAGTTAACAATGATCTTGTTTGCTTATCATAATAAACATTTCCAGGATTTCGCTTATCTGGCAAGCTTACCTCATTGAACACAACCTAAGAAAATGATGGGTATAAGTACTTCTTTTCGTCCTTATAAATTGAATTCATTATGTAATTTCGATGAATCACAAATCTAAAATTTGAAATCGCGATGTTTCATATTAATTTCAAGTACAAAAAGCGACACGAATTTATGAACCTCATTAGCGAATTGATTTCGGGATTTTGGGCTAAGGTTTGGAGCTAATCCACGGTATAATGCTACCAGAAATTCGTCAAATGATGTCACATCCCTCAAGTGACTCAATGCATTTTTCACTGTAGCAGTTTTACTTATACTGATTTCAGTGATTCCTTTCGTCCAAATCCAATCCAGACACCTGAAACTTAAAGATTTTGTTTTGGTATTTTTGATGATCTTTGAAAGTGTTATTTTACAACTGGCAGACGCCATTTTTTATTAAACCATAGTAATCATAATAATACATATATTAGCATAATTAAACTACAGCAAGTTCTCAAGAATCTTTCAAAGCAAAAGAAATTTCAAATATCAACCTGTATAAATGATCGCATATCCAATTGGACATATCTGGATGGCCATCATTATACTCTTTAAGCCAATTATTGATGAGCTCCTGAATACCCATATCCTCCTCGCTGCAATAATAAATTAAAGCATAATTTGCATCACAATTCCTTAAAGATTTTGAAAAGAGAAAAAAATTTATTTATTCCTGCCTTAAATGCTTCAATCAAACTGTTTGTCAATTGCACAATTAAAACATACAAACGTTTTGTAGATGATAAAAATTGAACCTGATAAGTATTATACCCATTCGAGATATTGTTGCTGGAGATGCGTTACTAAGATTGTCCGTTTCAAAAATGAAATTGACGTTAAATCCAAACTGAATTCTCTCACCAGATGGCATTGTAAGCTGCGAATAATCCAATCAGTTTATAATTTTTAACGCAAAAAACTCATGTCTTAATTCTACCTCAACATTTTACTGATTTACTTGAAAATAAAGCTGAGCGAAGGAACTATACGAAATTTTAGAGCACATTGCTGAACATTTCTATAATTGATGACTAGTACTGGAAGAAAAAGGTTTACCATACGATTATCATCAAGCACTGAATTGAGTGCTTCAATCCATTCTGGATCAATATCACCGTCACAAATAATCCACGCTGATGTACTGCTATCTTTGACAACTTCGCGAGCAGCAGCTGTTAACACGCCATCAGACCATTCACGTGTATCCATATCCATGTATCCCAAAAGCTGAGTTAAAAATTATCGAGGGTAATATAGTATGAACGATCAAGATGGTTCTTGGGTTCTTATGGTACTCTCGTTGTTGTCAGCAATTTCGAATAGTTTTTTGGCTTATAATGTGACGTATTCATGTATAGAAGTAAATAATTTACTTTTTGTTTTGAAATTGATTTCGGATTGATCTGGTAAATTTTTACTGGCTTATTTACTAGTGCCATGGCTTTTTGCAATACTTTCCATATGGTTGATTTGCCCGAACCACTTGGTCCTAACAATATTACACCCATTCTCTGTCGTACTTGATCGTATAATTCAAATATCTTCTTCAGCTAAATAGAAAGTACCTTGTTATAATCACTGGCAATCATTCCTTAGTCGATTAATCCTTAATATATCAAACAATATAATACCCTTATAGCATTGTAATCAGTGTACATTCTGACGCAGAATCATATATCACATCAATTTAACGATGAGTTACATTTTAAAATACTGGACCAGATTGAACAGCCGTAGTTGCCTCAGTAAATAATAAGAAAAATACCTGCATATCAGTAACTGTTATCTTCAATTCACCAGCAACCAATTTCAGCGGTTCTAGCAATTCCTCAATCTGAAATAATTTTGAATATTCAAATTTTCAGAATCCCTTTCCAATTTCAGCGATTCTACAATTCCTCAATGTGAAATTATTTTTGAATTATTAAAATCTTTAGAATCCCTTTTTTACAAATACACACAAAATATAGTAATAATATATCATGTAGCTCGTGCTAAAATTCGTTTCAAAAAAAACCATTGAAAAAGCAAACCTGCATGGTATCTTTTTTAACATCTGAAAATACATCATCGATAAGAGTGATAAAACGTTTAGAATCTTCAAAGGTAAGCATTGATAATGTGTTCAACGTCAGCGCCTGCAAAATTTCGTTACCTGAATATTTTGAAGTCAAAAAAAGAAAGCAACTAGCACAGCAATAAAATGTTACTATGAATAATCGAGAATTTCGCTAATAAAGAGTTTGTGAAAGTTTAGAAAAAGGAAAAAAATACATCAACAACCACTTGAACTTCATTTTTATCCACTCTGTTAGCCAATAAATTACCGCAACTGCGCAATACCGTTTTTAATGCTCTCAAGCCCCAATCATAATGCTGCTGCGAGCTTAACATTTCCCTTAAAAAGGCTTACTTAATTTAAATTCGGCTAAAAATTTTATAATTTGAAAGGAAGAAGTTTGCAAATAGGCCTTTTACGTCTTACTAAAACTGTTGCTTTCACGTTTTGCTTTTTTCCTAAGAGCCTACAATGATAAGCACTGACCCCTAACTACCAAGTTATCTAGCAAGTTAATCAAACATTGAATGAGCAATCTATGAAATTCGGATGAGTAAGTCAATGAATTTAAAAAATGCAAGCTAACTTGCTCAAGTTGAAGATCGATACCAGTTTCCGTGATAATTTCTTTGCGTGAGAAAAACCTTCAGAGCTCAAAAGTATTTCTGCTAAAAAAAATCTTCAATATTTTTTATCTTACTAAGTACTGAGTGGTACTTTCTCTCAATTATTTCATAAAAATGACTTTTAATTTTGGCTGTTATGGTAGGAAAACGCATTCCATAAATCTGCTTAGGAAGTGACAACAAACCGATAAGCTCATTATCCGGAACAGACATAATAATCGGACGAAATAACTGCTTAAGATTATCCGGCAATTTTTGTCGTCCACCATATCCTTTACATGCCGGATTCAGTGTTATAAATATTGCTGAATTTAAATCTACAAGGACCTAAAATTTGTACAATAAAAATAACCGTTGAAGGATTTTTTTACATAATTTTAGTTTTCGATAATATAGAAAAATGCTCACGTCCCGGTCGGCTAACACACATTTTCCTGATCGCGATTTTATTGCATCTTGAATGGTCTGAATTTGCATTGATACAGCCGAAAGCACTGTCTGAAATTCTACGTAGGTGTCAAGCATTTTGTTTTTAAAACCTAAAATTTTGATTAATAAAAGAAAGGAAACCTGATCTAAACGATTAAACTCATCAAAACAGCCCCAAGCACCACATTGTACTAAACCAATAAAAATGCGACTCATTGAGTAGATATCAATTCCTTCGTCGCAGTTAAATACTAGAATTTGTCGTCCAAATAAATTCGCTAGTGCCTCAAATTTTAATCGCATTAGCATGGGAAAAAGTTAACCAGAGGAAGTCAATCAAGAAGGCTATATCACTTTCGATAAATGATACCATCTTTAATTTCGTGTACTTTTATTTCGCTTATTAACCATAGCAATGAAGCAATACATTACTGAAAACTTTACGACATGTTTACCTTGACAGATTCGGTTTTTCCAGTGCCTGCAGGACCATAAGGATTGCCACCAAGACCCATTGACATTGCTGAGAATCAAGCTTTTGTTGAAATTTAAAAGAATGTGAAAAAAAGAACCTCGTAATTTAATTAGTGAAGTCCTTGGCTGAAATTTTGAATTCTACAACAATCAGGAGTAAATGATTTCAGGAATAATTGGAAATAAAAAAAATTTTTAATAGCTTACCTTGTGTAAGAGTTAGATAGCACTTATCAGTGAGAGGGGTGTGAACCAATTTTGGCGCATTACCCTGAAGAATTTTATGTTTTGGACAAGACAAATAACTTTAGTTAAACTGGGCTTGTCCATGTTCAGTTAATAAATAAACCTGATATTCGTAAGTGTAGTCGAACTGTGTACCGATATGCCGTATAACTACGTGATCCTTTGCTTCCAGATAAAATCGTAGCTGCTTTTGCCAAACCCACGATGATTTAGAACTAAAATTTGTTTCATTTTGTCATTAACAGTTGAAGAACAAATAAGATCAATGGAAAGAGCTTGATTTCACGATTGATGTAGTGAATTTTTCTGAGAACAATCACTCCTTGTGATATGCTTGCGTCAACATAAACTAAATAACTTAAGATAATGGAGGGCAATTTATTTTAAAAAAGTTAATAACACTACATTGTCTGTTAATTCTGAAATGGTTAAAATTTCATAATTAATTTGCTTTTTTTTCATTTAAAGAGTCATGATCGTCATAACAATAAGCTGATAATTAGGTAAATATGAATCTAGAACATACGAATATAGCAAATAGAAAATGGAATATAGGAAAATATGCTTCTTACCAGGGTGAATTGTCGATTAGTTCATCGATGATACTTATATTATGAATCACATCCATTATAAGCGCTTTTAATTTAAGCTTTAAAACTTGGTCTGTTGTTCCCGAATTAATGTAATTTGTTAATGTTTGTTTTAACTGCTTCCGATAACTTGGCAAATCACCTCTGCCAGTCAAAATTCGCTCACATCCTTCACAAAAACGAATTTGTTCCGATAAACATAGAACCTGAAGGTTTGCTTTTTTAAATTGTCTTTCTGGATCATAAAGTTGTCATGGAATAGGTGGAAGAGTGAAAAGAAAAACCTGCGACGGATATTTTCCAGGGTCAGGAGATGTCTCAGCTACACAGCTTGCGATTAGTTTTCGGATTGTATTCTTCATTTCACTAGACAGTTCTTGTAACCATCTCTGAAATTTCATTCTTAGAGTTAATTTTGATCAAGAATTAAATTCGAATGCATTTGAAAAATACTGATTTCTTATTTTTTTTACTTCTGTTTGAGAGTCAAAAAAGAGTTACTTCCGTCTCAGCGACAATTCTGACTGGTTTAGATAGCTGGACAATTTCGCCATCACTTGAAACCATTGCAATTATCGTTTCACTATTAACACCAAACACAACTTTATGGATTCCCTGTCAATTCATCAATTCGCGATTAAACTCATGCTTTTCAAAAGTTGTAGAAAATATTCTTTGAAAAAAAAGAAAAATTGTGAAGCTTTCTAAGCGCCATTATAACTGAAAGTGATTAGAATTGGCTGCCAATTAGTTGCAATCACGTTGATTCTGACACTGATACGACAGGTTGCGAATGTTTTATGATGCATTTGCATCCAACAATCCATTCATATGTAACTGATTATAAGTTGGATTACAGATTTGAGTGATTTTTAGTTCAGTTTAATTACTTTCTTTGGAACATACTTGGAAAAGTTTCTTGAGATGTGTTTGGATTGCTGTTGCATTCATCAATTGACCTAACATTTCTAGCAAATCGTCATCACCCAAGAAATAAAATCTGGGGAAAGCATTCCGCTTTTCCTGAAATACTCAAAAAATATTCCCCGAAATGATCACTTATAAACATCGTTATTTGATAATACTAGTAACACTGACGATGGTAACAAGTAAAATATAATGAATAATTCGCATTAAATAGATTTGAATGATTTTTTTGATTATAGTGCAAACTTCAAGGAACTGATTCAGTGCTTTTTGACAACGATTAAGTTGATCGATGATCTGTTCTAGCGTACGCTTTAGAGAACCTCGTGCGCTCAAGCTAACGATACGGGGATCATTGACCACATCTATAAATCGGTTATTGTTGTATCATTCCAAAGTCTTATTTAAGTCTAATTTCATTTACATTCAGTAACTACTCTACGTGCTTACTCCTTTCGTTTTTTCTGTAAACTTAATTATCTACCAACCAAATTTTAAATTTCCGATTTCTAGGATTAGATTCAACTTTTAAGATCTTTAGAATACAGTTATCATAAACTGGATGAAGGATATTTGGAATAGTTTTAGCTATGTAAATATTTATGATAAACGATGAAAACCATTTAAGATGATACGAAATTCGACATCAACTCGATTGAAACGAGATGCCTCAGACGGAAGAGACCCACGTCCAAAGATTGGCTCCAAATAAACCCATTTACGCTGTATTTCATTCATCCATTGTACATATTGTTTAGTATCAGCTAATCTAAAGAAAAAAATATTCGTCTAAATTTAAAATGTATCATTTTCCTGCCTTTGACAAGAATATACATACGGTTGAAAGTATAGCACTACATGGAAAATTTACAGAAGGCCATACCGTGTTTCCCAAATTGAAGTTTTATCAGTGAATTGAGCATAATACGACGAATTTTTCAGCGATTGTAGCAACGCTTCACTATCTTTTACCTGAATAATGAATGATTAAATTTTGATAATTTTATTAGATAATAAATAGAAACGTACTAGAAATGTACTAGAAATGTGATATTTCAAATTTCTAATCAAGTAACTTCATTTCAATTACAAATTTCGGGCAAAATTTTTTAGTAAGGATGAAAATTGTCATAAGTCGGTGGATTTGATATAATTTACATAACTTCAAGCGCTGATAGAATCTAAATGAGAGGATAAATATATTTGTATTTTGTTCCAATTTGATTGAAAGAATATCAAATTTCAACACTATATGAATGCAAGGAAAATACCGAATTTAGTGTATCTTTCCAGTCTTTTATTATTTTCACCACTGTTCCATTCGAGTGTTTGTAATCCATTAGAACGAATTCTGCCTAAATTTCAAAAACATGATGGACAAAATTCTTATGGTTAATATGGGATACGGTGCTACTAAAAAGGAAGCTTCGGGTCAACTACAAATCAACCACAAAAAATAAATTCGGCTTAAATGGAATCAGGTATAATAATATCGTGTTACTTGTCGATTTTCTCATCCGCCACTTATTTTCATATCACATATCAATTGATTTCGTTTGAAGCTCAATTTAAGCAATATTCACAAACTACTACATCCCCTCATTAAGCATAGGGAAAAATCTTTTAGATTTTCCTACAGGTCGCTCTGACGTACCAAAAAAATATTGCCACTCCTTCGTTAAAGTTTTTCATAAATAAAAATAAATTAAATAATACAAATTTTAGGTCGTTAGGTGAAAGTAAAAGTAAAAATAATAGTCAATGTTCTGTGAAACAAATAAACCTGTTCGGCCCAAAGTTCAAGCTCTTGAATGGCTTCACGAATAGTAACTTCTCCTTGGGCCTGTTCATTCAAATTTTTCAATGCTTCCAAATTTTCACCGATCATTTTGTGAACATTCAGAAAATCACCAAAGCGCAAATGTTCCAACGTTGTACCTTTTGGCATACCCAACATTCGAAATAACATTAACCAATGATCACTACTTAAAATTTCACCTCGACAGTATTTCAAACCGACACTCATTTCCTGTTTAAATAAAATAAAGTTTAGCTAACGATTTACTTTAAATAGCTTATTTCATTCAGTACTCAACGAATAGCAAGCAATCAACAGTGTTTACGTAAAACTAGCAATGTAATTTTCGTTTTTAATTTTGAATTTCAATTATCTTATCAAAATCTAGAAATTTCACTAAAAATGCTAAGAATTTTTATTGTGCAGCTTCCAATTATCTACTATTGTTATTCGTTCTGCTGACAACATTTTTTCACGACTCTCAGTAACAACCGAGAAAACGAATATGATTACTGGATAGTTTTTCAAGCAATGCCGGAAGGTAAATGAAAATGTTATAACAAAAAAATGCTTTAGCAGATGCTTAGGAAAGAAGGAATTAACAGGAGAACGAGGAAATTTTCCTAATTCGTTGTTTTTAGTTTTAGATAAAGAATTAATTTGTTGTCGTATCTTATTTTAAGGCAAAGAAATTATTACCTAACAAAAATTCACAAACCTCAAAAGTTTTTTATAACATTCTTACCTTGAATTGATCAATCTCTTTGCGTAAACGAATGGTAATATGTGTAGCCGGCAAACTCTTCAATTTATTGTCCCATTCATGTAAATATTCATCAAAACGATAGGTTTTTGATCTAAAAATTTTTACATGTTAGTATAAATGAGCACAAATTTATAAAACTGTAAAAAACTTTAAAGTATTTTAGCAAACTACCTTTTATGACATGATCACTTAACGTAAAGAATATATTATCATGAAGCAGGATGACCCTATGAACACAAAGTTGAATTAAAGATAAGCAATTCATAATCAATAGTTATTGAATGATAGTAATCTCAGTAACAAAAACAAATAATAATGATACTTGCCTGAACAAAATCCATTCTTCATCTGCCATCTCTTGCAAACCAACATTAAATTCTTCATATAACAACCAGTTATTTTCATAGTTTTTAAGATCACTTGCCATTTCATCAAAAAGTGGTATTTCAGATTTTTCAACGTCGAACTGTTCACATTCTGCCCTAAATATCCACAACACGATATGATAATATTACAATAATCTAAGCTGAATCTCAGAAGTTTTTACAGATCCTTAAATTGTTTAGATTTGATTTTTTTTCAACAAACTTTGAAAATGGTCCGAGATATTTTAAATAATAATTTAGTAATTATCGTGCGAGAAATCTCCGCTCAAGTATGGATTTTTTTTACTCTTGAGCTTCATCATACATTGACCTCTTTTCGTCTTAACTTTCCCCTCCCATCGACTAAAAATGCATTGACCAAAATCTACGTGAAAATATTCTTGATTTGAGTTTAACATACAATAAAGCATCTCGTTTTTGTTGCAACTCATTGAATTCATCACGTTTTTCCTTGATGAATTGTATTGCTCCAAGTGCAACATTTCTGTCATCGTCAACAAGGTCATTTTTCGGTTTGAATTGGTTCCAGCGAACAAATAATTTTTCAATTTCATCATTTAATGATTTGAGCTGTGCACCAACATTTGATTTCAGTACCTCTACCTTTAAGCAAAAAAAAATGCATAGTTTGTCTGATCAATTAACAAGATTATAACAGCTATCTGGTCAGTACCATACTATTAACACCAGTGATCATGAATGTGACGTTACATTAAGATCAGTGACCAGTGACCTTAATACATATTCACATTTACAATTAAAATATTAAATTATCAATCAGTTAGTGGAAAACAAAGCTTCTGTAAACTGCCAAGTAAACATTTGAATAGCAACTGTCTGATGTTGAAAATTAGCAAAAACAATCATTTGTCAAAACTATTTTCCTTATTTTTAACCAAGTGAATTTTATGGACTGAACTATAATTAACTCATTTTATATCTACTAGCATTACTTAGAATATTGTATTCTCAAAATGAAAGAAGTTTGCCGTTCTGCGCCTAATGCCAAAAAGCCACACTGATATTTTATTTCTCCGCAAGAATAAGTATAAAGAGTTTTAACAAATTAAATGTAAGAAGGAAGTTTACATTTAAAATATGATACAAATGATAAACCTGCTCCTTGATCATCAACTGATGGCTATCTAACATTAGTTCAAATTTTTTCCATAATGTTAACACGGTTGGTAATTGTTCAGCACCACTTCCACCAACTGATCGTAACAGCACATTTTTTTCCTCAATTAGATCAAGTGTTCTCTTCATCTAAAAATTTTCATTCTAAGAAATGTGAACTCATCAAACGTGGTATACTTCATGAGATAATTATACTGAAATTCAATTTACAAAAAACCTCTTTATTGGATTTTCCAAACTCGATATGCCTTTGATTCGCTTCAGCAATTTCAGTAACTGATTGAGGTCTAGAACTGAGTACCTCGATTGCTTGATTTAAAAAACGATTGACATCCTGGAAAAAATATATAACTTGCAAAAAATATATGAATGAAAATTGCATTTCAAAAAAAATTATATATCGTAATTAAAAATATTTGGAAATATTTGCATTGCTTTAGGAATGTTTTCTCATAATACAATAGCAACTGAGATAATTCAAAGTTTACGTGGATTTCATTATTGATGGAATATCTTAATGTCCATATCAGCGTGTCGAAAAGACGCTGTAGCATATCATCGATGGCAATTTTAACAGCTGATGTTGAAACAAGAATACATTCCAATCTTACTTTACTGCAATGTTTTCTAATTTTTTTGCATATGTTATTTGATATTAGTAATATCGTGATAACTTTTACACAATCCAGGATAGATCTTTTGCTAATAGCCTGGAAAGAATGTATCAAACTAATCAGTCAAAGAATTTTGTCATTCAACTTCAAAAAACAGAAAAAGGAAAAACAGAAGTAGGGAAAAGAAATGCAATTTAAAGCCTTGCGCTTATTTTGTCTGAGATTACAGCTTTAAAAAGAGATATCTATAGCTTATAATTATTGATCTATGCTTTCGAGTGCTCTAATTTATTTTATTGTTTGTTTAAAATTTCCATCGAGAGTAAAACGAAAATACGGGTACTAGAAAAGTAAGAAGAGAAAAGTATTTTTCATTTACATACAGAATTTCTTGAATTCAATAAAATTTGTTAAAGGAAAGGAGTTTTAAAGATCTAAATTAATCGGCTAATATTAAATTGTAATAATTTTACCTTGGCAATTTTTCCGCATCCCTTCCTTTACCTTTCAGCAGCTTGATCTGATTTTCCCAATCTGCAGCTTGTTTGAAATGTTTTGTAATTAAGCTTTCCAGGTCAACTTGGCCCAGTACAACCCAACTCTGTAAATTTCTACAAATAAATCATAGATAGTATTTTTCAGAGTGTGCGTAATTAGTCTTCTAGTTAACGTGTAATTATGTCTTACTCCATCAAAATGACTGTTTATTAAAAGTGATTATGTAAATCTATTATGCCATTGTTTATTACTTTAAAATCATTACTGACAAAAGTTGTCAGTAAAATGTTTTACCTCAAATTCACTTCCCACATTAACAAGCTTCTCGAATAGTTGTTCAGCTTTTTCATAAACACTCCAAAATCGATTCGCGTTATGTTCAATTATTTTCGCAAACAATTCGTTAACCTAAATCATTACATCATGATGAAACTACAAAATTATCAATCCTTAGATAGGCTAAGAAAACACGACCATATATATGTGATTGTTTATTTTACGCATGACATATGTATGTCAATCGTTAATGCAAATGGATTAAAACGGTATGATTTGAGGAGTAACATAAGCATGCACAATCACACGCATAACATCTAGACGTGTGAAATAATGCAAAAGATGCAGTACACGAAATAATCAATCATTCATGAAATATCACGTATCACGTTGTTGCTTAACTTACTTGTTTAGTCTCTTGTATACCACGAAATTTCTGTGGAATGCTAATAAACTTTCGTAATTCTCGATAATATTTTGCACGAATTTCTTCTAATGGTGGTCGTAATTCAAGTTGTTGATCCCTGGCAAATTTACTCGGATGAAATTTAAATGAAACATTTAATTTTCAATTATATTATGCTACAATGAATTTCCTTTTATCCTATTATAAACAATGGAAAGCTTCAATTAATTTCCTTTTATCCTATTATAAATTATAAAAAAAAAAAATAATGAAGAAAGATAAAGTTACAAAGGTATTAATTAATAAACTTTACTTAAATATTAGTTGAACTTGGATTAATGGAATTTGCATATGAAGACTTTCGAAACCCCATTGATATTGCAATTGTAATGCCTGTAAAAAAAAATTTAAAACAAAATTAAAGAAACTTATATAAACTGTTGTGAGAGAAAGAAGTAATCCGTGTAATTAACCTTATAGAGTTGATGATCCCAATGTGATAACCATGGTATCATATTACTTCGATTACTGATATTTCGTTCCTGTTCCGCTATTTTACTTCGTATCTCACCCATAACATCTTTCCACTTATTGATCTCTTTGAGAAGATCCAAATTTATCAGTTCTTTTATTTTCTCGCAAATTTCACGATGTGCTTTTCGTAATCGCCTAAAATGAAAAGGTAATAAAGATTGATGAAAATAAAATTTACATTTTATTCTTCATCATTTTCTCTTCTTTTATTTTAATTAAGAAAAATTTATATTTTCAAAATCAAAAATGATTATACCTTTTTATATTATTGCAATATGAATGGTAATTTCCTGACAAAGTATTCTTTGTTCATATTATTTAAGCAATAAATTTATGATTGTTTATTAAGCTATGAGATATCAAAAATTATATTAACTAACCTATTATGTAAAGTTAAGCGTTCAGCAGCTGTTTGTAATTTTTCAATAAATTCTTGAAGATTTTTTGGGTTATTCCAGCTAACCGTATTTGTTGTTGTTGTTTCACCTTTCTTACCGGATAGTATTAATTTTTCGAATGCTAATGCTTCGTCTAACATCATTGCCTGTTGGCATGGAAGCATTTGTTGATCCACTGAGTTATAAAAATGTGCTACCTTCAATTATAGAAATTGGCTTAATTTTTTGAAACAAAAATAAATTATCAAGCAATCAAACAATCCTAATTTAACAACAATCCTAATTTACTAAATTGGTAAATAAAATTACTAAATTGATAATTGGTAAATTAATAAATTGATTTGAATAAAATTAAACAAACCAAATTTGATCATAAGATTTTGAAAATGGATTTCCGTTGCTTATCATCACAACTATTCAATTTTATTCAATCAATTTATTAATTTACCAATTTAGTAAATTAGGATTGTTTCAATTCAACTAATATTTTCTGTATTTCATCCCTTTTGTAATCTTTTTTAAAAGTTCTTAATAGTTGCCAAAATTTAAATGCATTCATTTCCATAATACAAATGGAATGTTTCGATTAAATTTCATTTAAAGAAAAAAAAACTCGAAAAACTTTGAGAAGTTTCAAATTTTAAAAATGTAATAATAACCTGTTTAAGAACGATAGCATATTTGTAGAATTGTTCACCGGTATTAGCACATTCAATAATTTTCCGCGGTATGACAAATCCAAGACCTGTTAGCTGACGTACTTCTCTAAGAAGTCGAACTAAACGATCGCTATAATTGACAGTCAAATTACCACCTTTCTTTTCGATACTCATTAATTTACCACTTGTTTCAAGTGCAATTGAGTTTGTTGAATTGCTAACTGTTTTGATCATTTCTTGGCACCTGAAATATTTTACCTCTTCTTCAATTACAAAATTTAAATATATATATTATGTAGAAAAATACTCAGCACATTTTCGAAAATTTTTAACTTTTTAAAATTTTACAGTACCATGGTATTAATTATTTCGTTGTATTATTAATTCCTGTTTCGTTTTATTTGGTTTCTTAATTTTAGATATACTTTGATTACTTACCAAATAGTAAGAGTATCAGATTCTAACGAATGCATTTCACTAATTGTATCTCGAATTTTCGCTTCGACTGTTTTATAAGTTGTTAAATCGTTTAACAATTCGTCACATACAATCTTGATATTTTCAATCTTAAAATAATAATGATAATACGATTAAACTTAGGTTAATTTTTGCTTATATCATTACTTCGTCACTTTCAAAATTTACCTTCTCATCCTCTCATACTATTCGCAGTTTTGAAAATTTTAAAAAATATGTAAAATTATGAAATAAAAGATTTCTCCGAAAATTTCAGTATCAATATTATAACTATATAATCATTGATTTGATTTTAAAATAGTCCATTCATTAGATTTTCTTTTATTATATATTCAGTCAAATGCTTGTTTTAACTCGATCAAACGATCAAACGCATAATTTGAAGTTTTAAGGTAAAAGGTCAAGCGCTTGATCAAACGTTTATTTTGAAGTTTTAAGGTAAAAGAAGAAATTAAAGTAAAAATTCTATTTTCAAAACTACTTTATTAATTTCTCGTCGAATCCAAATAAGTTTAGCAGCAATTTTTGTAAGATATTGTCCAATTGGTATATTATCGGTTTCAATTCGTTCAATTATTTCACGTTTTTGCGCCTCAACCGTATTTGCCAAACGACTAAGTAACATTTCTCTAAATTTAAAAAACTTTTCAAATTTTGCTTTTCCACACAAATTAAAACTTACACCATTAATTACTAATAAAAGATAATGAGAAAGATAAAGGAAAAGATTTACCTTTCATTGGAAAGTTTTTCTTTGATACTTGAACAATTCAAAAAATGTTTAAATTTGATAAGATTACTAATTGCCTGAAAATTTCGAAGAAAAATACGATGCAATAAAATAAAGGAATTAATATGCTTATTAATGGTAATAACTAATATCTTTCATATCATTCAATAATTAATTGATAATTATAAGTCAATAGAAGATTTTATCAATAAATTTGTTTATTCCGTCTACATTTTCCCTTTAATTTGATTTATCAGATGCTTGATGATCTTTTACAACAGGACATACCTTTCTGCTATTTTAATGTTTTACAATTAATCAAAATTTTAATTCACGAGAAACTAGATTCAACTAATTGGTTGAACAAATTAAAAGTCTTTCTTCCTTTTTTTGAAAACTTACAGCATCATCAGTGAGTTGATTAAATTGTAAGCGTTTCCTTAAAACAGGTAATGCTCTATCCACAATTGGTTCAATAGATCGTTCCGCTTCCTGAATTAGTGCAACAAATGTAGAATTTATCAATTAATATGATGGGATGCTTCGAAATTACTTTTATAAACTTATTTATTACAATAATAAAAAATAAATGTAACTTTTCTTTCTTTAACTATAAAATTGGAGTTAATTTTAAAATTTATATAATTGAATAGTTGAAGTTAGATATTACTTAAATGTTCAAATATCATAATATATAGGTAGATAAATTACCATTTTCAACTTTTTCATTGTTATTATGTTTTGCTTATTTTAAAAATTTTTAAATGTTAAATATATTATTACGAAATAAATTTTAATTTTATTGGTATAAAATTATGTTATGCTTTAGTTAAATATTTTTAAAATTTCAAAAATTAATGCAAAACGAAAATTTTAAGTTGAAATAATTGAAAACTTTAATGAAGTAAAGTATTCCTTAGTTAATTAATTAATTATAATAATAGCAATAATAATAATAGTAATAATAATAATAATAATAGAATAGTAATAATAATAATAATAATAATAATAATAATAGAATAGTAATAATAATAATAGTAATAATAATAATAATAATAATAATAATAATAATAATAAATAATGAAAAGAAATACAACTATTTTACCAATAATTTAATTTTCCAATTTTGTTGCATTGAAATATCATAGGCAAATTTGGGCATTGTACCAAAAATATTTCGAATAATTTGTTCTATTTCTTTTCGTCCATTTTTATCACCAATTAATTCATCCATTTGATTGCTTAATAATTTCAATGATAAAATCTGTAATAGCGATTATTATTTTTACTGTATACTTCATATAATATGATTAGAAATTTTTCATCCATTCTAATTTTAGGTTAAAAGTGTTAATTATCATTTTAGAAATGCAATGTTGTAATCAAATATATTGACTGTTACTAAATATCTATCGATTTAAATAATATTTAATTAATTTAAACTACGAAAAACTTAACAAGACGAGTGAATTAAAAAGGAGGAAGAAAAAATGTTAGCTAATTATAGTTTATACATCTTTTCTATAATCTTATATATCTGATAATAGCAAAATATTGCTGTTATTAATCAGCTTGCAAAATTCATTAGTATAACAAATTCTGCTACCGACTATTAAATATATTTGTTATATCTGTTATTATCATCAACAAAATATTATGCATAAGCATGTTTGCAAGCAAATAGCATGCATATCTACCTTATCAATATGTTTTTGAAAATTTTCAAAAACTGAAATCATTGATTTATCATCACCCTTCCATGGATTATCAATATTTTGCTTCCATTGTTCAATAAGTGTTGCAATTGCAAATTTCCATTGTTCACAAATGGAATTAACTGCATGTAATGTATCGATCATTGTATCAGTTGTGTCAATTTTCCATATATCATTCATTTCAATTTTGTTTGTTACAGAATTAATAATCAATAAACCTGAAAAAAAATCTTTCAATAAACCTCTTGTTTATTTTATACATAAATTAGTGAAATGTTATATTTTTATGAAGTATGTACAAAGATTAGGATTCTCTTTGAATTTTATAAGTATGAGCATAGTTTAATTATCATTAAGTAAAGATACACTTCCTGATATTGATATGATATGACTTTCGTAGACCTATTTCAATATATAATACTTAATAATGCATCCGTGTTGCATATAATTTAATGAATAAATTATATTTACTGAAAGTTTTGTAGACATAAAAATTAATTTAGTGAAAGTTTCATCGAAATGTGATAATTAGAAAAATTATGATAATACATAAGCTTGAGCCAAGAAATATTGAAATATTATGCAATCATTAAATTATGCTTGGTCTTATCTTTATTTTCATTTTGAACTTTTGATAAAATGAAGCAAAATGCTATGAATAATGCATAAAACTTGATAAGAATATTGTAATCAACATTCTTATCAAGTTTATCAAATAACCATTCTTATCAATTCTTATCATATAACAATAACAATAATAATATTTCAATCAATTTACCGATACTTTCCACAATTTTTTCCATACGATTTTGCGGAAACGATGGTTCACAATTCCAAAGTTGATTTAAACAGTCTTCAATAGTATCAATAATTTCATAAATTTCATCTATACGACAATTTATAAGCATTTCAAGTTTCATATCGATAATTTGAAATATTTGAGAATACTGCAATGCAACATTGTCCTTTCGAGCTTTCCAATAATTAATCTCATCATGTATAGTTCGTTTATCTAAATTATAATTAATACTTAACAAAATAATCCTTAAATGACAATAAAGTTCAAGGGAAAAAGAATCCTTGTTAGACATATACAACTATAAATTATAATTTTAAAATTTTAATCCTTCCTTTTTTCTTCTTAAAAAGATGTAAATTACCTCTGTTATTTTTTGGTTCGATGCACATTTCAAGTTCATTTAAAATTGTACGTAAATGGCTATTTGTAGATGCTTCGGAATCATTTTCAACTGCTTGTTTGAATATCTAAAGTATCATTTTACAAAGTCTATCGATGAAGATAACTTTGGTTATGGAAAAGTGATATATATATATATATATTATTGGTATTATTATTACAGTTATTTTACCATTTATGAGTAATAAAATGACTTCATCACTAGTATTATCAATTAGCAAATTGTTAATTAAAAAAGTCATTAATTAACCTTTGAAATAATTATTATAAAAATGGCTATTTAAATTACCAACTTCTCTCACTGAATGAATTAATGCATCCGTTGGACGTCCACGTAATGATAATACCGATATTTTGCTTTTATAATTATCCAATGGTAAAGCAATTGGTTCAAGTTTGTAAAAGATTACTCTCGTTAAATTCGAATGATAATCATTTCGCATCTCATTCGTAATATTAAATGTATTTTCCTAAATTTAAATTTGTTGTGAATTAAAAAAATTTCATTATAATATAATAAATATTTATACTAAAAGTTGCTAAATATTTTATTTTGAAATAATAAACAAAAATCATTTACTATATGATATAAAATTTTCAAAGAAAAATTAAAACTTTTGCAAACCTGTTCATCTTTTGCAATAATTAGCAATGGTGTATTGGTATCACAAAAATTTTTTATCGGATTTAAATTTGGAATTTTATTTTCTGATAAATTCAATGCGAAAATATGCGAAGCAACACGTAAAATATAGTGACGTCGAGGATCACTACGTTCATTATCCATATTCGCTATCTTGATTTCTTATCGTTCATAATCCATATTCGTTATCTTGATTTTTTATTATATAGGCATTTATATTATTAGAGCTTATATGCTTGATCACGTTTTTATCATACTTTTTAACATCGAAACGTTCATTTTACATCTTCTGTATTATCACTATAAAATCAAAGGAAAAAATAGAGAAAGAAAATTAACAAATAAATTAATAGAATAATTTATATAATTTTAATGAAAAATTTTCCACTAAATTTCTTACATAAAAAAAAAGTGCAAAATTTATGTGTTGGAAATTTTGCATATAACTTTTTAAAATTTCATAAGATTTCACTACAAAATTTATATATGATTTTATTCCGTTCATTTTTTTTAAAAGACTATTTAATTATTTAATTAATGATTAAAAGGAAATAAATTAAGTAGGATAATTAATAATTTTAGGATTGATTCGATGATATGAATATCGCTATCATTGTAACAAATTAGCAATATTTTATTATGCTTAATATTTACATAGCGATACCTATCTATATCATCGATGATAATCGATGAAATATTTAACGTAATTGCACAATTCGCTACCTTTTATTTTCTCATTAATACCAAACGTTAGTTAGGAAAAATTAAAAAAAAAAAAAGAAACCAAGCAATTTCTACTTCTACGATAAATTAAAGTTTTAAATTTTATCGTTGCAGAAAACTGAAAAACCTATTACTTCATGAAAGCAATTACTTCATAACGTTCAAAATCCTATCCTTTTTTTTTTCTTACCTTCTAATTAAATTCTAATTAGAAAATTATATAACAACACTGATCAATATAACGGAATTTAAACAAAAAAATTACGAATAAAATAAATTAATAATACTGGAACAAACGGTATAATAAGAGGGATGGATAATGTAACGAATAATTTGCATCAAAATGTTATTTATAAATCGGTTGCTATGGTACTTCGTCAACTCTAGCAAAATCTCATTCACTTCTAATATAATTTCACTAACATATTTGCAAGAGGATATTTCGGATAATGTTGAAGAAAAGATTTTCAAATATATTATTCCCAATTTTTTCATCATATGCAAAAACAAAAAGAAATTATGCAAAAACAAAAAGAAATTTAAATGAATGAAAGAATTCCTAAAATTTAGGCATATCATTTGCCTAATTTTTTTTTTCTTCTAAAAGTGTAATTTAAAATTAAAAATGAAAAATATTTTAGAAATAAAAGAAGAATTTGTTTTTTTTCTTTTCCAAATTTCATTTTCATTTTCGAAACTTGTTGAAATTACATCAAATTAATACCAAAACCAATTCCCTTTTAATCGTTTCTTTTTTTCATTTTCATTTTCCTTTTACTTCGATCTTCACAATCGTTCCACTTATTTATAAATTTGTAAAAATTTTTATGATATCAATTTTTTTTCTATTCATTCATTTTGATAATTTCAACATTTCAGCTCAATTCTATCATTTTCTTCACCATTTGCTATCTTTTCTCATTCTATCAGAGCTATATCTCTTTGATCGTTTGTTAGACTTCGTTCTTCTTATCAATATATCATTAACATAAAAAAAAGATTTGGTTTTTTTTTTTTTTTTTTCTTAGAATTGATGTAATAATTTAAAAGATAGAGATGAGATTAAATTTTGAAAATACAACAAATTTCGTAATGTGATCGGTAATTAATTTCATTTACCTTAAATTAATGCTTTAAAGATTTCTCACTATATAATTCTTACAGTTAATTTAAGAATTAAGAAAAATCAATGATTTTCAGAATAATTTTAATTTATCCGTAATTTTTTGAATCTTTTCATAATGTGGTATTACCGCATTTTTACTACGTTATATTCTACCATTTTTTTAATACGATTTTTTTGTTTTTTTTGTTTTTAAAAATAAACAAAAAAAAGTTGTCATTATAATTAGAATACATTAATATTGGTCAACTGATACCTGTCTTTTAGAGAGAGAGAGAGAGAGAGAGAGAGAGATTCCGACTTTTATCCATTCATAGTTTGCATTTTTTCTTTAGAAAAAAAAAAAGCTGATATTGTTTGATGAGCAATATCTTTCCAACATCGGTATAATTAAACAAATATTCAGGAATATGCATGCCGGATGCATTTTCTATCGTATTACCAATCCTATCCACTTGCCGCTTCTGTTTGCTTTTCGTATTTCAAAAGAGACGTTTTATTTGTCGCTGCAATTTCGAAATCAAACTTTTTTAATATTTATTTAATTGGTTCGTCTGAATGGAACTTGAAGTTTATCATTTCACATATTTGTATGTGATGTACATCTTTAAACGTATATACATTATATACATGTTTCTGTGTATATCTATCGTTGTGTGTGGGTTATGTGTATGTATATATCTGTGTACATATGTGTGTGCACATACGTATGTGTCTGTACGCATATGTATGTATATGTATGTATCCGTGTGCATTTGTGTGTGTATGTATGTGTGCATGTGTGTGCGTATGTATGTGTATGTATGTGTCTGTACTTATGTGTGTACGTGTGTATGTATATGTATATGTGCATGTGTATGTGTGTATGTGTGCATGTATGTGTGCATGTGTGCTTGTGTGTGTATGTGTCTGTATGCACACTTATAGTATCATTTAGATGCTTTGATTGAAACATACGATGATGTAGTTGTGAAATTTAAAATACTTCATTATATTTATCTAAAATAATTACTGCCTTTTTTATTCCATTTAATTGGAAAGAGTGAAAGAGAGAGAGAGAGAGAGAGAGAGAGAGAGTAAAAAAAGGAAACGATCGATTCCCCCCCCCATAACTTTTTCCTTTCTTTTCTTATTTTTTACTACCTCTCTCTCTCTCTCTCTCTCTCTTTCTCTCTCTCAAAACTTTTGATCAAAAGTTTATTTTTATTTATTCACTTTTTTTCCCTTTTATCTTCCTTCACTTTTTTTTTCCTTTCTTTTCAAGGGTCATTCTCATAAATCACTCGTACCAGTCTTATCAATTAATTATAATTCATTAATTTATATGATTACCTTTAGCTAATTTATAATTAAATTCAATTCCTTTAAACTTCTTTCTTTCCTCTTCCAAATTTCTTCTTTACTTCCTCTCTTTCTTCATCAAATATTATTTCTACGCTTAAATTTCATTTCTGTCAACATCTTTTCCACTTTCTTCATCGCTACTTTACTGTTTTATTTGTTTTTTAATTTTTTCTCAATTGAGTATAATAATCAATAGTTAACAATTTCATTTCTATTAATTATATGTTGAAATTCCTTTTTTGTTTTATCTTTAAATTATTTAATCAATAATAGAATTTTAGAAATTTATAAATTTAACTTATACCAGCATATATTTGTTATGAAAAATTAACAAAATATAATAATATAAGTGCAAAATAGGGACATACACATACATACATACACGTACAGACATAGATACATACACATACACATACACATTTAAGCATACACACATATGCTTAAATAAAAGAAAGATGTAAATCGATTTTATTTTTCGTATTATTATTATCATTGTTATCACTAGTATTATTATTATCATTACTATTGTTATTATCATTATGATTATCACTATATTATTATTATTGTCATTATTGCTATTGCCATTATAATAGTATACTAAAAATAGGTGAATAATTATCGAATATGCCAATGAAATTACTGGGGGAAGAAGTAAAGCAAACATTCTCCACTTCGTTATAATATTACATTTTTTTTTGTTCTGTTTTTAGGAATGCGGCCCGTTATTTCCGAAATGTCGGTCTTTAACTTTACCACTTATTGATAATCATCACTATTATCACCACCAATTACTACCATCACTGATTGTCACGATCATTTGCTACCACTATCAGCACCGGTGATATCAAGATAAAAATATTATTTTTACTATCAAATTAATTAATTAAAAATAAAAGAAAGGGAAAAAAAAACAAAAAAAAAGGAAACGAATCAATTATTGGTCGAATTAAATCGAATGGCGCATTATATTGATGTGATCTGTTGTGTAATTACTGTTATTGCTGTTGTCACAACGGTGAACATCAATTTTAATCCACTATTTTATGACAATTGCTCTGATTACAATCATAAGGTAATCAGTTAATTATCACAGATTTCAAATTTAAATTTAATTAAATCATTGTTTTTTCCAATTTCTAAATGTTAAGATGCAAAAAAGAGAAAATGAAAAAAAAAGTGAAAGGAATGGAATATTTTTGAAGAAGAATATTACAAGTAAGAATGTTTTATGATAGAGGAATATTATAAAAATAATTTTATGCTTATAATTAAGTAGCAATTATCGTAGTAAAATTACAATAATTACAATCTATGCATTGAATTTTTACTATGCAAATCATTTCATTGCTTCCACCCTTTTCTCCTAATTTTCCCTTCAATTTAAAAGATAGAAGGTAGAATTAACTGATTTAATAAATTAACTCTAACTAACTAGATTCAATTTTAATTAACCAAGATTAACGGATCTTTTATTTCTTCTTGTTAATTTTAAAAGTTAGAAATAATTAAGATAATAAGAGAAACATTTTTCAGGATTTCGCATGCATTGTACGCGAAGGTATAAATATTTCTTTGTTTCATCTATCATATTTTATCAGAAATAAAAGTAATGATTGTTTAAAATATCGAGAATTATTTACCGGAAAATGCATAGTATCATCGTATTTGGAAGTCTTTTCTACTTATGATGAATAAAAACCGAATCAAAATGCTGACATTGCATTGATATCTGACGGAAAAGAACAACTCGTAGGATATGATGTATGACTGAACCGGAATTTGTGGAAGATAATGTGTGGCCAAGAGGTTTCGAAATTTATGGAGGATATTATTCGACTGGCTTGTAAATCGTTAGATTAAGTGCGACGGAATCGGAATTCATAAGAGATTGCATGTTAATCGGTCAGATCGAAATTCATGTAGATGCTGTATACTAAGATTTGAATTCAAATTCCCGCTCAGTCATATGTTATCGCAATGTGAGCATGGTAAAAAACTTGGTAGCATCGAAGCATATCGGTATATAATCCTAAAAAGCGGCTGATAATAGTGTTGGTACTTTTGTTGTCCAGCTGAATTCAAGCAATTCGAATTATCATTATTCTATCCAATAGATTAATGATGATGGCTATTAATGATATATAATTTAAACGACTATATTGTTAGTTTATCTCTTTTTGTTCTCCATGTTATGGCCTATTATTTTTTCTCTATGATATGATTGTAATATATAAATGAACATTTAGTGATAATATTATAATCGTATCATAGAGAGAAATAATAGGAAAAAATATTTTAGCAGTATTTTAGTTGAAATAATTAATTACTTAACTGTCAATTATTTTAGTAAAATGCGATAATAGAAATATAACAATCAACGAGAACAACAATAATATTAACAATGTAAATGATATAACATATGCGCATGACATTCGGGTGGAACCATTTGCTCGTGTCGTTACTCGTTATTCTAAACAAACTTATCAGCTATCTGTTGATATATCATGGCAATTACATCCAAATAGTTCGTGTATTATTTTCAGTATACATTTGCTTATTGTAACAAATTAATTATGATAATTGATAACCGGTTAACATCATCGGAATATTTTAATCATCCCGGTCATATGTTGCTTATTAAAATTTGGATAAGTCAGATGACGTTAAGAACTTCTTAGTTAGGCTATTGGTGAATGAGAATATTTAGTTTTAGCAACTTACCAGTATATTGCAGTCTTTTATGATTTATCATTTAAAATTTCCGGAATTGTTGTAGGTTAATGATGAGAACTGTATTCAAATTGGCATTCCTATTAAAGTATTAAATTTTAAGCAAAATTAAGAAGATACTAAACAGTTATTTACTAATCTCAAATTTTCAACGTTGTATCAAAATCGAAATATCTAACAAGTCATTTAAAGATAGTTGCATGCGACATTGAAAATCTATTTTAAGCGTATAAGATATTTCGTATGTAAAATATTTACTTCTTAAATTTTTGATCGAAATATAAATAGATAGAATAGTTAAATACAAATACAAATAGAATAGAGTAATGAAAATTAAATAGGAATGAAAGAGAATTTAATCATACTTTTCCGTTACTATAATTTATAATAAAAGTAAGCTATATTTAATACATAACAATAAATGATAAAACATTTGAAAGTCTTTTTATTTCGTTTTTTAATGATAAGGAATACTTGTGAATATTCATATTTATATTAGCATTAAAACTATTAGCATTAAAAGCTTTGCAATTACATCGATAAATGAAAGGTGTGACGATTAAAAATTGATAACAACGAAGAAATAAATGATAATTTTATAATATTAAGAAACTTTGAAAATTTATAATCTCAAATTAGAAAAAATCAATACTAATTTTAACCTTTTTTCTTTTAAAATTTTGTTCAAAATTTAGCTTTAGCAATGTTTTCTTTCTCTCTCTCCCTGTCATAAAATATATTTTGCAGATTTTACATCATTGCTGTTGGGATTTATATTGGAAATTGAAGATGCCTCATCTAATCGATCTTGCTTTTATTTTAATATTTCAAATTCCTATTGGAACAATAATTTGATTGCTACTATGGTTTGTTTCGTCTTCTTTTAATTTTCATTTCTCTAATTTTTGTTTGTCTTTAGTTCACATTCGAAAAAGAGTTCCTAAATGAAACGATGATAAATTCAATTTTTTAAAAGGAAAAGAAATAAATTCTGTTCAATTCATTCTGGAAAATGGTTAACAATTTTTTTTGAAAGCGAAATTTAATTCAATTGTTATTTGAAAAGTTAGTTTGAGATCTGTTTTCGTCCCGAAAATGGTTAACATTTCAATTTTTTTGAAGACGAAATTTGAAAACAGTTGAAATTTCAAAATTCAATTTTGAAATCATTTTTTTTTTGCATCATTAAAACCATTCGAATTTCAAAGCAGGATACCAAAAGTACTTGAAAAAAACTTTAAAATTTCAAAAATAAATTTGGGAAGTGTATTAGCAATAATTGACAGTTGCTATCCTTTAAACGAATGGTGACAGTAATAGTAATAGCTTATTTTCAGCCTCGATTTCACTTCACTTCGGAAAGTTTATTCGAATTTGATGAGACTTACGATATTAAATTGATAAGTTTATCGAAAATAAAAAATCATACAACGATTCTCCAGAAACATGTCCTGATGCCTCATCATCCTGGTAAATATTCACCCAATTTTTTTTAAAAGACATTTTCCAAAGATTCAATGGTACAAAATGATTAGGAAATGAACATTTTGAAAGGCAGAAGGAAAAAATATTGAAGTTAGATATGAAAAACTGCTGACTGCACAAGTGGATTTTAAGCAGAACAATCCAGTAAACCGGAATTGGAAAATGTTTCCATACAACTAGTAAAATCCGATACAATGAAAGATTAGGCAATTTTGATATTTAAGTTTAGAGATGAAATTTACGATTTAAATTTCATATAAATTTGTACGATGGCAATATGCCTTATTTGATTTCGGATTATTTTCGTTCTTTTTTTTCAGATTATTACAATGATACGGTCACTGAACACGATTGTAAGCGAACATGTAAATTTTTCTTAAATTTTGAAACTTCTCGTCAGAATTTTACAGTAGATAAAGTTAATATTATCAAGGGTTCAAAATAAAAGAATTTCTTTGGAAAAAAAAATTATTACCTTTCAAATTTTTTTTGGAATTTCCCTTTTTTTTACTGTCTCTATGAATTTTAAAATTATTAACAATTTTCCTTTAGCAAATTTGCAAGCATCACGATGGACCGGTGGATTTCGGCGTATTTTGGTACACCCACTAACACGAACGATTCAGGTGGAATTTGTGGGCGCACCATCTCACTACTGTTTCGAAGGTTATGAAGTACGATTGAAGGATGAAAATGGCCTGGAATTGCTTCATAGTGCAGTGGTACCAGTTGAATTGATGTACATGGAATATTTTGGTAATCAAACTATCCTTTTTGGCCAATATAACTTCACCAATTTAGAGGTACCATTTAAAAAGTTGAAATAGGTTATCTTGATATCTTGATAATCATTTTTTCAGTAAGTAATTTTAAACTGATGCAAATTTTGAAGATCAGAGTAACATTACACTTATCAATCGGCAATTTCTCCTTCATTATCACGCGCTTTTATCAGTAATTACTGCCGATATTGTACTAAGCAAAAACTTTCATCATAAATTATTTCAACTTATCTCTTCGTTTCATCATTCTAGGATTTAAAATCTAACTGATCATTACTTCGTAACATTTGATAAAAAATGGCGAAGAAGCGCATTGACTGAAAAACCGGTTGCATAAACGATTGCTATAGTTTTGCAAAAAAAAATAGGATCACTTTATTTCTATTTCAGGTGGACCAGTATTTTATGCCATCTGTTATACCGATAGAGCGTTCTCGTGATGGTCGTTGTCTTTGTCCAGTATTGAGTACTAGTCCGTTTGATAACCGGATGGTATGTTCCTGTATTGCTGCTGATTGGCATAAAATTCGAATTCAGAGTAAGTTTAATTTGTGATATTAGAAGTAACAAAAAAAACCTCCACTTTTTTTTGGAATTTTAATTTATAGAAAAAATTTGTTCAAATTTAAACAAATTTAATGGATTTTTAAATTGAATTTTTACGTTTTCTTCAGAAATCTCACTAAGTACAATTTCAGGAGTGGAAAAACCAGTAGTCGTTGCATCAGGATTAGAACCAAACAATACTTTAATTTTACGTGGAGAGCATAGTGCTTCCGGATATATATGGCAAGCATCCAAAATCATTTTCATAATTAAAAGATGAAGAGTAAATTTGTAACTTTTATTCCATATTATTTTCCTGAGTATTATCTTGATCTGTAACATCCAATATATCACTTCACTGTTAAAAGCAATATCATAAATTAGATACAGTTTTTAACACTAATTTATTAGCTGTTCAATTATTTCTTTTAATCCATCTTCGTGGTTAAGCTATCTGTCGAAGTTAATTCGTTTTGTCAGTAGTCATTTCTTGTTTTAATTATGGCATTTCATAGAAATTTCAAGTTTCAACTTAACTATCAAGCATCAAATTGAACATTTACCTAGGCATAATGCATTGAAGTGATAATTAACAAGTTCATATATATTCGATACGATTTCCTCGATATAATTCATAGTATTTGCATGAGCAGTACGTGAAACTTGATTTTTTCTTTTTGGACTTTTAAAATTTTAATTCATTACAGGGTAATAGTTTTGGCAGTAATACTTTTGGTTATAAGTTTGGTTATATTTTTCCTAATTTATATCATATACTTATACCACATTCGTCGTCGACTAACAAGTAAAGCAATACGAATACGATTTATAACGGATCATCCACCTTCAACAACCTTAACAACCCTGTCTAACAGTCAATCACCTTTAATTCATATCGGTTTGATTACTTTTTAAAATTTAAAATTTTTCTTTTCTCTCAAATATCTGTAAAGTATCCTATTGAACTATTCAGTATCAAATAGGATTTCTTAAAGAATTAAAAAAATTTTCTTCTTTTAATCAAGACATTTTGAGAAACTTCCAGTAAATTCTTTAAAGTAACAACATCTGGAAATTATTAGTTGTGGCAGATTTCGTGAATAAATATCAATTTAATATTTTTTTTTTTAGCGCAACTTAATGTTTTATTGGTTTATTCACATGACAGTTTGTTACATGAAAAGTGTGTTTTGCTCTTTGCGGAATACTTGCATAACGTATTTGGTTTTGATGTTCATGTGAGTCGTTTGCTTTTTGACTTTACTTATAGTGTTTCCTTAAATTGATTAATATAAGTATACGTTTGATAAAATATAGCTTATTTATGAGACTAATCAAGTAAATTTGAAAAAAAAAAATTAAGTGAATAAAAATATGATATTAGTATTATTTTAAAACATGGCAAAAGATGATTTTCTAGTTGGATGTTTGGGATGTTGCTCAAATTGAGCGCAATCTTCTGGATTATATAAGCGTATCGATCATGAATGCTGACAAAGTGATTGTTATCAATTCTGAAGGAGCATATTATCGTTATCAGTGTAAGATACAGCAAGAATACCATATTGAACGAAAAGAGGCCGAACCTCTCGATGGTTTATTTGATAAACAAATCGACCAAGTGTTAATGTAAGCCGCCTATATGAATGGTTTTTTTAGAAATTAATTACATCAGGTGAAATTTTTTAGCAATTGTTGATGATTGTTCAAATGAGTAGAATCGATCGGTTATCTTAATCAGTCAAATCGTCAGAATGATAATATTACCATTGTTAAAATCTCTAAATTTAGCTGATAAAATTATGATGTACACTTTTTTACAATCAAAAAGGTTTGGTTTTTTGAGCCAAGCATATTTTAATCACATTCATTAGCACCTTAAACCTTAAACCCAAATATGTTCTCCTCAAATGATCTTCTAGTTTAAATATTCATTTAAAATATGTTTTTTTTCTTCTGTGGTAATATCCTAAAGTATTATAAATTTGTTTTACACAGTTCATGAAAATTATTTAGAATTTAAAAGATGATTTTCAATTTCTTCAATGAATGATAAATCTACGAATTTATTTGAAGATTTTTTCAAATTTAAATTTACTTCATTAATCTTTTTTTTAATTCAGGCATTCATCGGTAATATCGGTTCGATTCAAATATACTTTGCCTTTGTTCATTTTACCACCGCTCGGCTGTTCGTTGCAATACACAATCCCCGATAATATTGCTGCACTAATTTCGAATTTAACCGGTTCAGATACAAAAAATGATTCACAAACTGTTGTGTATAATTCGGCATACGCAAAATTGACAGCAACTGTTACGGAGACATCAAAAATGTTGGAAGATGATCCAAGCTGGTTTATTAATACTCATTGGCGTGTAGCAACAATTATTGATAAACAAAATCGGGTGGTTCCAATTCGGCATGACAGGGATAAGCTTATTAATGAATTTGAGAATACTGATATCAAGAAGCCGCAGATATTGGCCCACACAAAAATACTACCTGAGTTACCGGATGTATTGATAAATGGTAGTAGGAGTGTAGCAAGAGTTCCTTCGAAAATAGTTCAGAAATCAAAAAATTTAACAGATCCCATACAAATTCAAATTGTCAAGGCCACTGATAATTACACTAGTGGTGATGAGCATAATGTAGCCGATCAACTCGATCAACTGAATAACTTTCCGATCATTAATAGCAGTAATTCGTCTGAGAAAAGGATGTCCAGTGATGGACATACATTACATGATTCTGGTTTTATTTCTGGTAAAGGTATTACAAATACCTAATTTCTATGATTTATAATATTTTTACTTATACTATATGGATGAGTGAATCTATTTACTAAATTTTTAGAAAGCTTATTTTAGTTAAATTAGTCGTAAATTTTAGCGCAATAAAAACGGTAGAAAGCATTGTAAAAATGTAATAGTTCAGTTATTTCATTTCCAGTAGATTTATTTTAGTATTATGCAATTTCTGCAAAAAAAGAACTTGAAAAAAGGTTACATTTAGTTTTGGAATTATTCGAAATTCGAACTACCCCAAATAATATTAATTGTTTTTTGCTTTTTTTTAAAGAAAAAGTTTCCCTTAATAAAATTCCGATCTAGCATTTTGTTATTGGAAATGATAATGGGAATCTTGGAAGAAGTTAAGCTAAGAAACTAGATTAGAAGAAGATGAGAATAACAAATATGAATTGTAATGAACAATCCGATTAGTCTTGGTCATTTTTAGGCATACATATATTCGGTTGAAAACTAAGTGAAAAAGTTTTCATTTTAACAATAGTTTATTATTTCTCATTTCAGTGTAAAAGATTTTTGTGTTAGAATTTTGATTTAGAATTTTTGTGAAATGATCCGTGATGAAATTGAACCTCATATAAATAAAATACATCATTTTATGATTAAACTATAAATGTGATATTTTGTTATATTATTAATGCTATTGTTGATATTGTTATTGATATAAATTGATGATCTCAAATTATATATATATGTAATTGTTTTCTCTTATTGATTTTTATTTTAATTTCTTTTTGTATTATTATTATTATTATAATTATCAACAGAAATGCTGCTCAAAACTGTATGTTTTGCTTCAATAATTAATACTACAAGTTTAATAAAATGAAATCTTAAACAAAAATATTTTAACATGTAAATATCTTTGCCAACTTGTTTTCCTTTCTTTTTCTTTTTAATGAAGTCCAATTTTTTGTAAATAATTTTCAAAAAATGATCCACTGATAAAATTAATAATATTGATAAGATGATCAAATTCCCACTGTTCAATTAGGAACGATGCATAAATTTTGTGAGTAAATAAAAATGAAAGATTGTCTGATGATTGCTACAATTTGAATTAGTCCAGGTAAAAGGTATGAATTTTTTAAGTTTTGTTGAAATGTGAAACTTCCACAGAATCTAACTAGCAGAGGAGTTGCAAACAAACATAGTTCAGCCAGGAAATGGTATATCGTTAAAATTTCAAATAAATCACAAGAAAATTTAGCCGAATGTTAGCGGTAAAGATATATGTAATTTAACTAATAAATTAGCTGATGTTAAATATTGAAGTTGCAAACTTTTTCGTGAAGTCACATCTATGCTACAAGCTACTATCAGGAGAATAATTTTGCTAGAATTCTAGCGAACTTTTGATTCCAAAGAGTAATTTGGGAACAGTTTTCATTCTTATTCACGTAAATCTGATTTAATTATATTTTCCCGTTATTGCAAATATTTATGGAAACAATGAAAAATAAATTTAAATTCAATAAGAAAAAAATGAATAAGAAATAATTAACCGGAAAAAAAGAATTCAGCATTAAATTAATTGGATCTTGATAATATCCATTTTTGTTTGTTGTTATCACTGATTAACATACTGATTTATCTGATATTAAACGATCAGGACAGTCAAAATCTTGTTGAAAATAATGCCAACTTTAGAATTTTATCGAAAGAAGAAAATAAGAACCAATATATTTCTATGATAATATTTCCAAATGATTTTTTGTAATATGCATAAGATACAATGATATAATTTAAAGAATTTTGAATTGAATTTCTTAAAATTATCATATTTAGTGCTGAAATCATCAGATAAAATCATTCTTATGTTTGCTGTCACTTAAACTTACAGTATGAATTAAGTTTAAAATCAAATAAAGCAGTAATTTCGTCATTTATTGATCACTTAAAATGATCGCCTAAACACATTTCGTTTATTAACTATTTAACAAACCATAATTTTGCAATTTTAAAAAAATTAGTAAAAAACTATTAATTAAAAAAATAGGATTATTATTGTTCTATAAAAATTCGAACAACGTGTATTTTAATTTATGCCAAGAAATGTTTTCAAAAATTACCCATTCAATGTTTGAAATTTAATACTCTCATCATTTAGAATTTGGATAACAGAACTGTTATCCATTGACTTATTTTATTGCAATAATGAATAAGTAACCCACTTGAGAGTAAAAATTGCCTAAAATATGAATCACTTTATTAGAGTAAGAAATCTGCTCACAATTTCAATTACTTCGTGGAAACAAAAATCGCCCAAAATGTAGATTATTATTTCATGAGAGTAGAAATCTCTTAAAATTTGAACTATTCGATAAGTAAAGATTTACCAATATAAGACTATAAGTTTTACCCAAAGTAAAAATTCACCAAAAGATTTACTGATGAAGTTTTACTTCTTCTTTATTTCGAAATTTCAAAAAAAGTTTCCAAGTTTATATTAATTTATTAATAAATTTACTACCTGAAAATTTCTCAACTTTTTTCCGAAATGAAATATGATGATAACTTAAAATATTCGATATTATAACTTTCACTGCAAATTTATCAGTTGTTTAACTGATAAATAGTGAATAATTTGTGGAAAGTAGCTGAAAAAAAAAGTTCAAAAAAAAATTTAACAAAAATTTCTTATAAATTTTAAAATTATCCTATCATATTTGTTATTATTATATTCTGTAAAATCATACGATTGTAATAATTTGTAATAAAAAGAAACATTAAATCTTATATTTTTGCAAAAACCAAAATAAATTTCTCATTCTATTAAGCATACAAACGTTTGCCAACCGCGGTCTACAGTGTTTTGTCGTAGAAGAAATTTGTTTTGATGGTGAATATTTGTGATACGATGAGATCGGGTTGAAAATGGGAAATGATAAATTTTTCGATAAAATAAATTTTTTTGGCAAATTAACAAGTTGCTTCTCATAATGACCACACACGACGTTTAACATTTCTCACTAACAGTTATTTCAACGACCACCCACGACGTTTGCAATCTGAAACAGCTAAGATTGCAATATGATGCATGTAAACACTAATGTATTCTCATGTACATAATACCATTGCAATGGTAATTGTTGATTTTCATGTGATGATATTTCAATTGTTAGATTTCATTCTTTTTTTAAATTTTAATTACTTCATTAGAATTCAAATTGCATTGCAATATAATAATCTTTCAAAATTCAAAATTTAAAATTCATCTTTGTAAAAATTCAACCGCTTCTACTAAAGTATTCCTTTTTACTAAATTTCTTTTCGTAAATTTCAAAACTTTATTCTATCCCTTTTTCTTTTTGCTTCATGCAGAATTTCATTAGCACTGAATATATATGCATTGATCATTATCGATTACTGTAAAGGATCTTAGCAATAGGATCGCCTTTCTATACTTTGCAAATCCGATATGAGTTATCTTCAACAAAAATGTGAGGATATTTCCAATGCTTTGTTTTTTTTTTTAAAAAACGTTTCTTAACAAAACATAAATCAAATTAATTATTTGTTGAATTTCTTTCAAACTTCTTAGAAGTATGGTTGATTCTAAGCATAGCCAACTTATAATATATGTAATGGTCACACTTCTAATACATAATACTTTCAACAAAATGTATCATTCGTGTAACCATTGTTCACTAAATGGTATCCTTCTGTTATATTTAAGTTGATATTTAGTATTCATGTTTTTCCTCAACTATTCAATTTCTTTACCAATGAAATTACATTTGATGGAAAATTTTCATTACAAACTTCCGCGCGTTCCTTTCATTCGAAAGTTTCAAATACAGAAAAGGCGGAATTTCGAACTATTTCCCATCCCTTCTAAAAAGTAATTTTTCTTTTCTAGGAATACTTTTATAATTTAGTGCCGACTTAGTATAGTGATTATGGGAAATAAATCTTCTTTGAAAATTATAAAGACAACGAAGAAATTTAGCATCATACGTTTAATTGATATTTTAAATTGCTTTCTAATCCATTTTTTTCTTCACTTTTGAAAGATGAAAGATGAAACATGTCGTATTGCATTTTAACAATATTTTCAGCATGTTCCTGGGAAAGTCAATCACGTAATTGACTTAAGGTATGTAATATTTTCCCAAAAGCTGAATATGTCGACTAAGTCGTCAATTATCATTTATGGGTAGTCTTAATTCTACTTACTGAATTACACTCATTCCAGCTCCTTGCTTTTGATAACGATTCTGTGTTACTTCAAAATTACTGAATCAGCAAATTTACTGCCATCGCCACTATTTAGATAACACTCTACTCATCACCACCGAGACAATGTTTTTATTTTTTTGCACAACAAAATACTCAATCTCTGAGAGAAGAATGGCTTAATACAACGTCACTAGACAAAAAATTTAGACACTCATTGGCGAAAATCTGTACGAAATGGTATCCGCAAGTCGACCCATTTGGGTCATTCCGTAATTGGCAAGTGGAATAAGCAACGGAAGCCTATGAAAATGAGTTTCCCTGACAAGAACTTTCATCTTCTAAGTCTTCACTCCACAACATAACTTTCTTTCGTGAACGAAAGAAAGCCAGTATATATATATATATATATATATATAATATCAGTGGGGTGACCTCATCCACTTGCCAAAAATGAAGCTAATTTTCTGTAGGGATACTACCTTAACTTATTCTACTAGAAATTATAAAACAAGACAGACATTCAGGAAGGGAACCCATGAAGCTGGAAGGCCTTTAAACTTTAAATAGATGGAGGTAACCAAAAGGAAGTTTTATAGCGCATATGGCAGTAATATGATAGATGAGAGTGGGACTGTAATGGAGCGAAAAACAAAAGCAAAAAGATCACAGTGGGATATATATATAAAACTGAAGAATGTGGAATCGGCCCATGCAAACAGCAATTACATGAAACTTCTAATTATTCCTATTTTCTTATAAATTAATACTTACTAACAAATTAGCATTTGAAAAAGAGA